CGACTCACGCCTAGCGCCTGGCCGAGACTGGCGAAGAAGAGTTTCCCGCTTCGGACCGGCGCTGCCAACACAACGCCGTCAAATGTCTCCGGCCCGGCTGGGCGAGGCGATTCTGCACGGACCGCGCAAGTTTTTCCATATTCGCGAGGGTGGAAATCGGCCGGATAAAAGGTGGGATTTATTGAATTGCCTTTCACCCCAAAGCCACCCCTTATTCAGTTCATCCCTTATCTCGCCGGCTCAGAAATTTCCAAAACAATATTAATATAAAATGAGATTCGAAAAAATCTTGGCTTAAAAATCCGTCTGATCCTGTCTCTTCAGTGACAAAATTCCATTTTTTGCCATTTAAAAAACACCCTACAATAAACCTATCACATAAATAAACACATTTTCTTTCTTTTGAACTACCTACAACAAAACCATCTCTTTCATATTTGGCCAATTGTTTTCGTTCTGAGTACCTGAGAAGCTATTTCTATCCGCTTTAAAGAAATTCTATCCAAAAACAATTTGGCTTTCGTTGTATTCATAATACACCAAATTCCACGAATTGTAGACGTCATCGCAACTTAGCGCCCCAGCAATTCTGCTCTAGGGTTTTTCTACACCTATCCCAGACGTTCGATCGCGTTTCGAACGAGGGTCTACGGCTGAATACTTCCTTTCTAGCACATAGTAAAATCTTCAGATTCTGCCCCTTCAGAAAATCTTCCATCCATTCTGCCCTCGTTCCTCAAGGGAGCATCTTAGATCTATTACTTTTAAGCAGATACTCGGCGGGCTTTCCTGAACACCGTAACACACCATTACCTTTGATGACGATACAACAATCCTCCCCGCAAACCTTGATCTTGCCCTAACATTTCGATCCCTCCTTACCTTAGAATCATGGAGAATAAAAATAACATTTGAATCAAATCCCACTTCCAGCAGCTGACCGCCAATACAGCATCGAAATCCTCCTTGAGAGTGGTTTGACATCTTCATCTTGGGAGATCCATTCATCATCCAGGTCGCCACTGATATTCTGGCTATTCCGTACTTCCTGAGATTATTTCATCCACCTATTCGAGACGACTTCCTTTCCCAAAAGAAGTACTAGATACTACTAGATAGTACTAGATATCCCAGCCATTGAAAACGGCCCTTTAATTCTCTTTCTCCCTTGTAAAATGTACGGAATCTTCGCTGCTCGAAATCTTCCTGCCTTCTACTAGTTTCCTCTTCATTATCTTTCGTTCGTGCAGCATATTAATTTGGCGTTAGCATTCTTTTCCCGTAAGTTCCTACCACTCGCCCACATTCTTCTGACCAACATTTTTTCAAGTTTTGTTTCTCTTATTATACTCTCCACTCTGTACACACCAAATTCCACGGATAGTAGACGTTATCGCAACTTAGTGCCCCAGCAGTTCTGCAACAATCCTCTCTGCAAACCTTGATCATGCCCTAGCATTTCGATCCCTCTTTATCTTAGAACCATGGTAAGAATAAAAATAACATCTGAATCAAATTCCACTTCCAGCAGCAGACCGCCAATACAGTGTCGAATTCCTCGTTGAGGGTGGTTTGAAATCTTCTTCTTGGGAGGTCCATTCATCATCCAGGTCGCCACTGATATTCTGGCTGTTCATTACTTTCTGAAATTATTTCATCCACTTATTCAAGACGACTTCCTTTCTCAAAAGAAGTACCCCCCCCCTTTGCACTCTCTCTAGACATACTAGCCTTAATTGAAAACGGCCCTTTAAATCTCCCACTCCCTTGTAAAATGTACGGAATCTTCGCTGCTGGAAATCTTCCTTCTTTCTACTAGATTCCTCTTCCATTCTCTTTCCCTCCTTCGGCATATTAATTCGGCTTAGCATACTTTTCCCGAAAGATCCTATCATTTGCCTATGTTCTTCTGACCAACATTTTTTCCTAGCATGTTGAATGTTAATTTGGCGTTAGCATTCTTTTCCCGTAAGTTCCTACCACTCGCTCTTATGTTGCTTGTACCTCTTCGACAAACCAGAAATTTTGAGCACACATGCGATATAGTGCCTTCTTACCAAGGAATTATAATAGTTGTAATATTACTGTCTAATCTTCAGAATTTGATATTAAGTTTGCAATATTTGTTCTAATAAAAAAATTATTGTTTCTATTAGGCCACACTATAGCATAGTTTTTCGAGTTTGAACTACCGGTTGAGTCGGGAGTTGCGAATTAACGAATGAAGCCTTTCGACTAGTTCAACTTGATCTCGTGTAGCAATCTTGTTAAAACTTGGTCTAGATACAGTGAAAATAATCTAGATTAGCTTTTAAAGAAAACTGTTATTAACATTATGTTCCTAAAAAAGAAATATTTTATTTTACCTTTAATCTTTCTGAGAAGTATATTTATATTTTATCCTTTGCTTATAAGCTTGTAATTTGTTTTATACTTTGCAGTTATGTTGTTTTTCAAAAAGTTTATATATTTTTTGTTCTTGGCTTATTTTACATTTTATATTGATTTATATAAATTGTAAGTTAGTAACAATCAGTTCCTTCTGGATTTGTGAAAAACATTCCCTTCAGCCTCGGTCACCATGAACGTTTTTTGAAGCCCGTCGTTCCCCAACTTCCAGTAACTTCGCCAATATTCTTCTTAACTATTTGCCACGATTTACTATCGTTACAAAATGATGGGGAGAAATTGAAAAAGTGTGAACCAAGATATCGGAATCATGTTGGTGACCGAACACGGAATACGGTGTTGAAGGAATAAAAACGTGTTGACAAAATAGAGGAAATGGAATTGGACTCGGTTCTGGATATTATGTCCGGACAAGGGGATACGGATCTACCCTTATCTAGTTATCGTGAACTGAAAACGCAATTGGAAATAAACATTTTATAACGGGAAATATGCAAGAGCGATAAATCAATGTGTAATGCGGCAGGGAATGTAGAGATAAGCTGCCTCGTGTCGTCAACGCTCAGCCAAAAACCTTTCTGCTGAAATGTTTGGTTTGGGTGTAAATCCATCATGCGAGCAACAGATTTCATCCCTGCTTTTATTATATCGCAACGATTTTAGTACTTTGTACTAATTAAAACCAAATACTACTGTTCACTTTCTGAAATTCTTATAAATATATTTTTTATGACTTTAAGATAAGCTCTAACAGTCTCTTTTTTGCCTTACCTTCTATTTAGTTTGCAATAATAAAGGCATTATTTCCCTCAATGAGGATCCATAAAAAACAGTTTTCATTTATGATTATCGACGATGCCCTTTAGAGATTGATATATGTATTAGTCAGGGTGTATATTATATTGCATCCTTTAAGAGCTATTGTATCCCCCGTTCTGTGCCTAAAGCACACGAGTAAGTCCTATTTCATCAAGGAACGTGATTAGCATGCCCGGTTTCAGGTTGAATCTCTTTTACGATTACGTTGTATGTCTCAAAACACTTCCTTCTATGGACAAGAGTAGAACCACAGATTGTTAGCAGGTGTATTGGTGCCTCCTCTGCTTCTTTACAGAATTTTCACGTGCCCTGTTAGGTTATGCCATCTTCTTCAGATGTCCATTTAGTTTGCAGTGTCCTCTTTCTTAAGGATTCTTATCCTGTTAGGATTCGTAAGTTTTTCTGCTTCCTTTAATACATTCTGCTACCTCTTTCCGTCCAAAGTTTGTTTGTAAGTATTTATATTGTTTGGGTCCAATAAGTGAGTTCCATTGTTCCCTCGTTTTATTTTTATCCTTCTGTCTGAGGAGCTCATTGACAGTATGTATTCCTAAGCCACAGAAGGGCTGGTCATATCAGCAGAATAGCAACCCTCTTCTTGCAAGGGCATCTGCTTTCTCGTTGCCCTCTACTCCCACATGTCCTGGGTCCCAGCAAAGGCTGACTTGTTTTGCACATCTAATATGTTTAGTTTGGTTTTGCAATTCAGCACCATCTTTGAGCTAATGATGTTTGAACTTAGTGCTTTGATGGATGCTTAGCTATCTGACATGTTAGCTATATTCTTGTTTGTGTACCCTTTGTTCAGATTGAATTGGGTATATCTTGTAATTGCATAGACCTCAGCTTGGAAGATACTGGTGTATATTCCCATGGGTTCTGGGTATTTGGTTCCTGGACTGAATACTCTTGGCCCCATACCTTCTAGTGTTCTAGATCCATCTGTGTACCAGTAGATGGTGCCATTCTTAAAGGATGTGTTTTTCTCTCTTTCCCATTCCTAGTTGGGAGTTGTTGTTTGGAAACTTTGGTTAAACTCAAACATCCTATTCATGTCATATCTTGGGCCATGAGTATCGGATGCTCTTGACCATGCCTTTAACAATTAAACTAATTCACGAGCACTTCGCCTTCTTTTGCTTACAAAAGGACAGCTTAATTGATAAAAACCATTTACAATTCACCTAGTGCAAACGGAAAAGTCCAGCGGATAAAGACACCCAACTCTAGTTACATAGAAAATGGTAACTCTTACGATCGGCAAGGAGATATTCCCATGCCCACAACATTATTCTAGAGAGGCTCAATGGATTCGCCCTAGAAACCTCACCAGTGAAATGGATATTGAACAAGCTAGAAATTATTAAATGTTGCTGAGCATAGGAAGCTATCTAAAGATTTATACAATTTTAAATGGATCTAAGTTCGAGAACAGACAGCCTCAGCTTAATTATGGCCTTTTGAAACACCAATACACACACAGATACCATAATCCTTTCATCCTCAGAATTATCTTTTTCTATTTATAATCTTCCATCACTAGCTAACTAGAAGGCAGTTTTTATATATTATTTATTTTCAAAACTCCAACTACAAAATTATTATAAATTACATAATTATTACATATTATAATTTTTTCTTCATATTTATTATCATACTAGGCCTAGCTGAGCTGACTTCATAATTATATGTATACCAACACGAGACTTGAGGTGTCCCATTGTCATTTCAATATATTTAACTTTTTTCCTATTTCTCCAAGCATGTGAGTTTTATTTTCATGTAACCGGAACACATGACTATCTAAGCAAATGTTCAAGTCATTTAGTTACTAGTTTTTAAAACAAAATTTATTGTATCAAGAATATTTATTGTTTTCTTTTTCATTAAGAGTGAAAATAACTACCTTCAAAATGAGGCCGATCAAATCACCAAAACCATCAAAGTCATTTTCACCAACACATTTTGAATCAATCGCTCCAACTTTAGGCGGCTCAATTCCAGGGACTTCTTTATTGCCAAATGCTTCAATTAGTGGGATGCAGCCACGAAATGATTTGTTTCAGAAGTCATATTCCCATTTCAGTTCAAGAACTACTCCTTCTACAGTTCTGTTTTTGAGCAAGCCTTCACCGCTCGAGCCTGAGACAACAAAAACAGTAAAAAAAAAATTCCTTGACAAGACTGGTCTGTGTCCTGCGGGAAAATATAGTGAGTTTTTTTTCTTATGTTGTCTTTACTTTTGTAATTTCACTTCCTTTATGATTTGCTACTATTTGCTAACAAATTTTGCTGATTTTGAATTCATGCTTACCAATAAAATAAACATTAGTCTAACATCTGCTAACTTAGATTACTTTTTTAATGTCAGGTGTTATTTTTTAATCAATTAAGTTTTACCAATTAATACAAGGACAATTAATATTGTCAACATTTTCACCATTATTCATTAAAATTATAAAATTCAAAGTGCATTTTTATAATGCAAATAATCATAATTCTTTATAATAAGTTAGATTTATTAAATTTATTATATATTTAATTACTATTGTTTCACTATAAAAAGTTTGAATATAGATGTTATCAAATGAAATAATTTATTATCTGTTAAATTGACAATAGTTAAGTTAATATTTTGTTCTTTTAAAGATCGTGATGTACCTTCTGAGTCGAATCTCATTGTTTTATCTTTGGGTTTGGAAATTGGGCATAATGGGCAGGAACATAATACAAGTGTATACCATGATATGATAAAATCAGAACCAGAATTGATTGTGAGACGTGGACATCCTTTTAGGATTCTTTTAAACTTTTCAAGGAAATACAGCAAGAAAATGGATGAAATCATAATTCATTTTAAAAGTAATTACTGTGAACTTATAGAGAAATTAATTTTTGCAATTGAGAAAAAGTTAAATAGTATAACATTTTCAGATCTTCACAATAAAACTCACTCTCACGTTCTTGTTTCTAAAAGAAAATTGTCATTAGAAATTGGCCCGGGAATATGGGAGGCAGCCTTTGAGTATTTTTCTCTAACCAAGCCAATAGCTTATGTCAAAGTAATAAGGAATTACGAATTAAATTGTTATTATAGCTAATTTCATTTTTTCTGAATTCAAATAATTTTGGTAAGATTATTGCACCGCCAGACTGTCCCATTGGATTTTGGAGCTTAGAAATCGAAACAGCAGGGTGTGAAAGAAGATTTGTCCAAAATGGCCGAATAGCCATACTATTCAACCCATGGAGCCCACGTAAACATTTAGTATATCTCAACTGTGATTATATTCATAGGCGAATTTAATTTATATTTTTTCATGGACAGTGGATGTCACTTATATGAAAGAAGAAAAAGCAAGAGAACAATTGGTTATGAAAAATGTGGGGAAAATATTTCAGGGTTGTTCCAATTCGATGAATCAAAGAAGTTGGAAATTCAACCAGTTTGAAGAAGGAATATTGGATAATATAATAACAATTTTGGGAAAGTACAGCCAAGTAGATTCTCTCAATTGGGGAAGTCCAGTGGATGTTGCAAGGGGAATTGCAAATATGGTGACTATTTTTGGTTAACATTTTGTTTTACTTACTTGTATTAAAATGTCAACGGCAGGTCCGTGGGCCTGATGGAATTATTGAAACAAACTTTTCAAATAATTATGAAGGAGGAAAGCCACCGAATGAATGGGAAGGAAGTGCTGAAATTATTAAAAAGTTCATTGCAACCAATCAACCAGTCAAATATGGTCATTGTTATACATTGACTGCAGTAATGATAACAGGTCTATGCAATTTATTAATTAACTTTTAATCAATTATAATTAACTAAATTATAAGATATATGCTAATAGTTCTGCTAGTTATGTTATATTATGGGACATTCCTGGACAGTAGCCACCCGAGAAAGTTTAACTCCACCAATTTTAATTGTGTAATTCAATCATTACTGATCATTTTAGTTTGCCAATTTTCACTTGATTGGTCTGTCAGGCATGTTCCAGCATTTTGCCATCTTCAATGGTGGTCTACCTCAGAAATGACGCATCTGACAGACCTATCCAGCAAGGATAGTAAGAGTAAAATATTGTGAACCAACAAAATTACAATTTAATCACCCCACAGACCATATGGAGAAATCTGATTTTTAATTATGTCCTAATAAAAAAGAAAAATTTCCACAAAATTGTTTTCTCATATAATTTGGACCTCAAATTATGAAATTCACACTCAAAGAACCTTAACATTTCAACAGTTTAGCAACCCCATTTCTAGAATGATTATAATATTCATTATTTGATTATTTTCTGCACTTTTTAATATCTGATAAACAATTCAGATAATTCTTTCATCATTTTTATATTTGAACTTATTTGTTCAGCCTTTCGAGCTTTAGGAATACCAGCTCGTCCGGTTACTGGTTTTGAACTCCCGGTTACACCAGATGATAAACTTTTTGCGGATTTATTTATCACTGAAGATGGCTTATTGGCTCAAGATGTATCCCATCAGCGTTTGTGGTCTGGCATAAGTTCAAAACAAGGTAAATTGTCCATAGCGTGTGAAGAACTTATTTTGTTTTTCTTAGGCATTACACTTCTTGGGCCGAAGCCTGGATGGCTAGGAGCGATCTTGGAAGTGCTTACGGCGGTTGGCAAGCTACATATTCAACAATTGGCCCAGCGCCTGTAGAAGCGATTAAATCAGGGGAACTACAGATTCCTTATGACACAAAAGTGTTTTATTGTGCCATAAATTCATTTTACTGTATTTGGAAATTCTTCAGCCAGTATGAAAGACTAAAACTTATAAGTAAGGAGAGAAACAAGTAAGCAACTTGATCATAATCATTTAATCCAAATCTTATTGCTAAATTTCACTTTTTAAAATTAAATAAAAAATATATTTTTAGTGTGGGAGCATATATTATGACACCAGATGTTTTACCAGGAGAGACAGAAAATATAGTGAGTTCATATAAAAGCCTTGGTATGTATAAATGATTTTTTTAAAATTAAATTATATTAATAATTTTTTGTGTTCTACTGTTAAAGATAGTGCAATAGAAGAACCACCAAGGTTGAATAAACGATTTAATAACTATATTGAAAATGAGGCATTCTCAGATGTTAAATTTAAATGCAAAGCGCCAAACGCAATATATTTTGGACAACACTTTATGTAACTTAACTTGTATACTTTTAGTTATAAATTGACATTTATTCATATTTGTTCATAGGATATCTCTTTCTTTGGTTAACTTTAATCAGGAAATTAGCTTCTTCATCAACGTCTCTATGGCAGTTTATTATGAACATTACAATGGAAAAAAGAGAGGGTTCATTAAAAAAGAAAAGTGGGCCAACGTTTTGCGAAGGCATTGTGGTAATGAGCTGATCATTTGAAAAGTTCTAAAAGTGTTTTATTTTATTTTTAATTTTTTTTTTTTTTTAATTTGTGTAGACCACACTATAAATATGCCAGTCACATATGAAGACTATGGAGACAAAACAGGCCCTGATGAATTTCTTTATTGCATGTTTCATGCATATATTGGTGACATTGACTATGATTACTTTTCGGAATTTTCATTACGTATTAAACAGCCTGAACTGTCTTTTCGTGTAAGAGTTTTTAAATTATTTAGGGTATTTTTAAATGATTATACTGTACAATGGAATGTGCACTTTTTCCTACAAAGCTAAGCACTTTCTTTAGTGCCTGTTCATGAACTTCTCTTGGTGTGAGAATATAAGGGCCAGTGTCTCAAATTCACAAAGCATATGCACTAATGTCTCTAGATTTGACTTGATGGAGTCGGCATGTTTCTGCCAAGGCTTTGCTAATTCTTAGGTGTCCAAATCATGGCATATTGGTTATTTTCTAGTCAAAACTAAGTAAAAAGTACTGTGAAGTCGCAAGAAATGGTTATTACATTTTTGTTGCTGTTTATCTAGCTTGTAAAACAGGCATTGCCTTCTTGCACTCACATAAAACATAAACACAGGTGCAAACTCCCTATGTCCCTATTAGGTTAATTTTGTGTTATCGATTGATAAGAATTTTTTTTTTAACGAGGGTTCGCAACTGCAGAGGTCATATCAACCCTCGGGGCTCGGGGTGCCGGTGTTTTTGAAAAAAAGCCCATTTGTAAGTATGTCGGGTTCAAATGTAGGGCCGCTGGATTCGAACCCGGGACCTAACAGTGAGGAGTGCCGTGTCAACGCCTAAACAGTTAACTTTACTTTTGTTCATGACTGGCACAAATCCATGAAAATAAAATGCTTAATGTAAAATTCCCGAACTATTTTTCACAATAAACCAGCATTGGTCGTAAACGCAAGGTCATAAATTGGCCGATTCCTTGTAAACCTAACCTTAAGATTTTTATTTGTTTATTTTATTTTTTAATTTTACGAGGGTTCGCAACAGCAGAGGTCATATCAACCCTTGGGGTGCCGGTGTTTTTGAAAAAAAGCCCATTTGTAAGTATGTCGGGTTCGAATGCAGGGCCGCTGGATTCGAACCCGGAACCTTACAGTGATGAGCGCCGTGTCAACGCCTAAACCGTTGAGGCCACCTTCGCCCCCGAAATCTATTGTTATATCTTCTTTCATTTTCTTGTTTTAAAAATTTACGTCTTCGTGTTCATTTCATGAAAATAAAATGTGAATGAAAAAAATTAAGCAGTTGATTTTATTTTTATACATCTTCCTACTTTCTTCGGACTGGTGGGAAAGCGTGATGGGGAAGGGTATGAGGAGGAAGATCTGAACCAGTTGGTGTACACAGACTGGAAAATTTTGTGAGCCTCTGTTCTAAATAATCTTCTCCTTGGGCGTCTTTATAATTATAAGAAAAAGAGGGCAGTACTACCCCAGTTTAAGTGGGGAGTACCACATGTCTTACATGCCAAGGACCATCAGCAACAAGTAACTTAGATGGTTAGGCGTACACTTACTATTTTTTACTCAAAGCAAAAAAATCTTAATATTTGAAACATATTGTTTGTGTCAGTACATTAACATTACCAATTGTGACGCACAGTAACAAAATCATGAAACGTTTGTAACATTTCAGGTGGTTAAAAATGTAGTGGAAAACCAAAATTCGCTTACAGATATTACTTTATACAATCCAGTTAATTACATGTTACAAAAATGCAAATTTATTCTGGGAGAAGCAGACAGTTCAAACACCATCCAAATAGAACGCGACGTGTACGTGTAATACATAAACTTTAAGATGCCAGTATTAAAATGAATTTGATAATTTCCAGGATACTCCCAAAGGAAAAAGTCAAAGTCAAGTTCTTTATTAATCCGTTGAAGCGAGGTAACTATGATCTCGTTGCTAGATTTGTATCGAGCGCATTCAGCACTTGGGCTATGGCCAGGCTTACTGTTGGAGAAATAGTTTCTACTCCTGATCCGACTGGCCTTCTTGACACAAAGCTCAGTCAGTCTAGGATGACCATATCAAAAACAGCGTATTCAGAAGAAGAGTTAAGAAGTGAAACTTGAGCCTTTTGTGTTGTAATTATGTCAATTAGCTGATTTCAATAAATGGGTCTTTATAATTTGAAAAAATTGAGTTGTGTTTTATACTGTAGGTCATAATATATTTAAAATATATTACACAAACAAAAAATAGAAGTGATAGAATTCTCACTATTTCCACATTGAAAGTTAGTTTTAGCAATAGCATGCACAGAGCACAGGGAATTAATTAAAATGGGGATAAAATTAAAAAACTGAAATTTATTTTATTTTATAAACAATATTAACAAAGTTATAGATAATTAATGGCAATAAAAATAGTACACAATTAGAAACATAATTTTTTTTTCTTTAATCTTCATTGCTATTATATTCCTCTTCAATAAAATCGACTACATCGGGAATACCTTCAAAAAAATTCACATCCTCCAGTCCCTCTGGCATGTAGGTCAAGCCAGACTCGTCTTTATGCCTCATATTGTAACCATTTGCATAACCTGTCCATAAGAAATTTTTATAAACCTTACTAAATGATATAAAAGATGAGTTTTACCAAGATCTCTCATTAATTTTGTTGGAGCGTTTCTCAAATGTAATGGAACTGAAGGTAATGGCCCTTTGTGATTTTTAATGCAACATTTTGCATTCAGTAACGCCCTGTAAGCTCTTTGAGATTTTCTAGCTCTAAAAAAAAATAAATAAATAAAAACAATGCAATAAGAAAAAAATTCTCCTTTAAAGAAAATTATAAACAAACCTCGCTAAATAAATAGCGGTTTGTGCCAGTAAAACATCGCATTCGGGCATTCCGATTAACTGACATCCGTGCATGGCAGAAACAGCTAAAGTGATAGCTATTGGGTCTGCCAGGCCAATGTCTTCGCTGGCAGCCCTCACAAGTCTCCTGGCAACAAAAAGAGGATCTTCGCCTCCTTCTAGCATCCTCGTTAGCCAATAAAGGGCAGCGTTTTCATCAGACGCTCGAATTGATTTATGGAGGGCAGAAATAATATTGTAATGCTCTTCGCCTTTCCGGTCATACAATAAGTGTGATTTCTGAAATTTCCATGAAAAGTGATTAGTTTTTAATAATAATTTCTGCCGGTTTGTCCAGAAAGTTCATATGAATTTCCAATAAAAAGTTTCTCCTTTTTTTCTTAAAATGTCTAGTCCTAAGCCAAAAAGTGAAAGATGCACGTGATTATTCCATTTTTAAATTCAAATTAAAATAATTTTTATTAATTGGGTTGACAGTGGGTGTAACTTCAACTGTAACCGACCACTTTCAAAAGATTCTAAATCACAATAGATTTATTTTTTCTTGCAATTAATAGCACAGAAAATATCAATGTATATGAACTATTGCAACATATAAATTAAATATAGTTCAACAGTAAATAAATTCTATGCATTACAGAATTGTTTTAAAATACTATTATTTAATTGGAAAATAATGAACTTTCAAGAGAAACCGAGTATTTATGAGTAAGAATCAAGTATCAACCAACTTTGATTCCATCTTTTATATCATCTAAGGTGACTTGTTTGTTTTCTGATGAGTTTCTAGAATCCAATGCCAACTGCAAACTATTTAAAGCAATTCTTGCATCACCATCGCACATTTCGGATAGCCATTTGATTGATTCTGAACTCATCTGACATCTAAATTAAACTCTATTATAACTATGACACTGGTAACAAGAAAAACAAATTATTATTATTACTTGTCACTGTCTGATGAATTTGTACCGTTTTCTTCGTAAAGTACAACATTCAGGCTTTCAGCTGCACGCAACAGGATCTTTTCAATCTCTTGTCCATTGAGTTTCTCCAAAACGAATACCCTGCAACGGCTTAACAGTGCGTTGTTAAGACTGAAAGAAGGGTTTTCGGTAGTCGCACCGATGAGGGTGATCAAACCGCTTTCAACGTTCGGCAAAAATATATCCTGTTGTAACTTGTTGAAACGATGGATTTCATCCATAAAAAGGATTGTTTTCTTTTTAAACATCTTAAGATCATTTTTGGCCACTTCTACAATTTCCTTGACGTTGTTGACACCAGCTAAAGTCGCAGACAGTTTGACAAATTTATAATCCGCTGATGCCTGACATTTTTTGTGGATTATATGTGCAAGAGTTGTCTAAAAATAAAAAATAAAGTATAAAGTAAAAATATTTCTAAAACAATTTTCTTTCCTTAAAAAAAATTATTAATAAAAATAATTAATTATACATGATGTCCCATTTAAGGTATCCAATTGCAAATATCACTTCACAGAGTCTAGTTTAATTGTGAGCTATGAAAATATTACATATTTCATATCTTACTTTTCCACAACCTGGCGGCCCCCATAGTATCATACTAGGTATATTATTTTTTTCAAGCAACTTTCTGAGAGCTTTGTTATTACCTAGTAGGTGTTCCTGACCTACATACTCTTCAATACTATTTGGCCGCATTTTTTCTGCTAGGGGCTTCTCAGTTTCACACTTTGGTACCTACAAAAAATTCATTTACACAATTATATTAAGTAAAATACAATTTTTCTTTTGTTTTTTTTACAAAGGTATTTCGACTATGAGGTTATATGAACTCTCGGGGTGCCAGAGTAAAAAAAAAAACTTAATTAAAAAAAAAAAATAAATAAACAAAAAAAGTCAGGGGTAATACAGAATGCAGTGCCACTGGATTCAAACCCGGGACCTTTAGCTTACAATGATGAGCGCCTCGCCACATCAATGCCTAAACTGTTGCAGCCACCGATGCCCCCATTAACCACGGTTAATTTACAGCATCAATACTAATGTATGGAAGATTTTTTAATTAATTTATTTTATTTTTACTGGATATAAAATTTGGGGGGAGGGAAATGGACAATTTCTAAACTGCAAAATAATGTTTTTCAGTTTATTATTAAAATAAAGAAATTACTGTCATGTAATGACCAACTACCGATTGGGTGTTGCAGACGAGTGGTCAAAAAATTTTAAATACTTTTTACATACTATTCTCAATTAAAAAGCAAAGGGCTTTGCAGGGCTTCAGACCCAGATATAAGAGTCTAATGCCCTTACCACTATATATGTTGAATATAATTTTTTTACGATCCATTTGTTCCCAGCAGCCATATTCTCGTTTCATTCCTGCCATTGTTACATTCTGCATATAAAAGGCATAATACCAGCTTATAGATAAATTAGACATCAAAATTAAATCAGTCCAGTCAGTTCATGGAGAGAATAAGAAATCAAGAGTACCAAATATTAGCCTCTCTGAACTAAATGAGACTTAAAAACCATCCCTGGACAACCTCCAATGCAACAATTATGGTCAATTATCTGTATGGATTCCAAATGGCACATCCTTAATTAAGAATAGGTTGAACAAAGGCCTTATCAAGTAAAAGAAAGCTGTAAAATTACTGAAATTTACATTAGTGTAAGTATTTATTGATTAGCTTTGTTTATTATAGATGTAATATTATTTTAAATTTCAAGATTTTATATAGCTTCTATTTATTTAATGTTAAGCCAAAATAATTTATAAAAATAAAATTGTAGTGATAAAAGTAACTAGTTTAATTTTGTTTAAATAGAATATAGACCCATACATCTTCAGATCGTCAGCAAAAAGTGAAAATTAATTTGTGGAAAACAAGATAAAATATCATTTATAAAAAATATAAACAAGATAAGCTCAAGGATAATTTCCTTAAGGAAATCTAGAGGGAAAGGAATATGTTTGAATCTGAAACAGATTTGACACTTGAGAAATTGGCAGCAAGATTTCTGCCCATTAAATAAAAATAAAACAATTTTAAGAGAAATCCATGAAAGGAAAGTTAATGAGTACACCATGATCAAACAGATCAGTTGTGATATCATTTATTTATCTTTATTGCAGTAAATTATGAAAACCTCTGTGAATTGTTATTAATATATGATATTTCATAATATGCCATACAGTTCAAACAACAATTCATAGAGCATAGAATGTTTATGAATTTTTCAAGTGATTCTGGTGTAAAAAACAGACCAGGAAGGTAATATAATAGATCTTTTTGTAACTGTCAATTTGACAATGATTCTCAAAAGTCAAAAGTAGCATATGATTAATACTGTATTTATATTAATTTGTTTCCTTTATTGCAGTAGGTTATATAAGCTTCTGTTATTGTTATTAATACAATATTTCATAATATACCATAAGATAAAGCATGTCTGTGGAGAACACAATGACTGCTTCTGCAAAATAAAAACTTTCATTTTCAGAACTCATTATTTTTATTTTTATTCAAACTATTGGGTCATGCATGCCACTTGCAACTATTTTAATAAAAGATTTGTGGCGAGGGGTGACGGTGAAATATAACGTCATCATCACCCCTCGAACGATGAGAGCGTAAGAGTGTGTGTTCGGGGTCGATGGCGGAATATTTATAAAAGAACTCCATCTTTTATCAGATCCCTAAATCTAGATTAGTTTGAGTACAGGGTCGGTGGAGGAATATCTTCTCCATCGCCCAAACGGAATGAGTGTACTGTATGGATGTATTTATGTGTATTATGTGTATGAATGTAGTGTTTGAAAGGGTAAATAGAATATAAACTTAGTTGGGGGCTGAAATGACCTAGATGTCGGAAGCCCGTCAAAAAAAAATAAAATAAAATAAAATAAAATAAAAGATTTGTGTTTTTTAAATAGGTAAATAATTGAATGGATTAATTATATTATAGTTAAATGTTGGTGGGCTATTTCACTTATAATAAGTATAATATACTATTAGTTTTATTGTAGATTATTTATATAAAGTCAAACATTTTTAATTTTTTTTTTTTTGGTATTTCTTTCTTTCCTTATTTTTATTTAGCATCCAGGGCGCAGGGAACAAGGCAACCGAAGAGACGCCCAAGACATTCGTATTTCTCTCTTTTATTGTGCAATTAATTTTTTTCAATAATCCTTTTGTGATGGTAATTTGACACTCATCAGTTGTGACACATGGCAAATAATGCTTGACACTGATTGTCATTAGTTGTGATGTATGGCAATGTGATGTATTTACATTCACTTATTTTCTTTTATGTATTTCAGAAAATATTAAAACCTGTGTACATCTTATTAAATATATTATATTTCATAACATGTGATACAGTCCACCCAAGAATTCATAGAGGATAGAATTTTTAGGAAAACAAAAGGCCGACAAGATAGTGCAATACATCTTTTCGTGAGCCAATTTGACACTGAATATCATCAGCTGTGACATATAGCAAATAATGTCACTTTTATAATATAATGTTATTACATATATTCTCCTGTTTTCTTTTATTACAGCAATTTGTAAAAGCTTGAGTACATCATCTTAAGTATATGATATTTCATAAAATGCGATACAGTCCACTCAAGAATTCATAGAGCTTAGAATTTTAGGAATTTTCCATGTGATTCTGGTATAAATCAAAGGCCAACTAGGTAGGACAAAACATCATTTTGTGAGTCAATTTGACACTATGTCATCAGTTGTGATATATGGCAATTAATGTATTTACATTCTCCTGTATTCTTTATGTATTTCAGAAAATATTAAAACCTGCGTATATCTTCTTAAATATATTATATTTCATAATATACGATACAGTCTACCGAAGAATTAGTAGAGCTTAGAATTTTAGGAATTTTCAATGTGATCCTTGTGTAAACAAAAGGCCAACGAGGCAAGACAATACATATTTTTGTGAGTCAATTTGAGATTGACAGACATCAATTGTGATACATCGTGACAGGTAGTGCACGTACCTTTTTCGATGTCGATGGAACTGGTGAAAAAGCTGGATTTGTCTTTTGCTTTTTCGCAGAAGGTGGGCTCCTGGCGAGATCGAAATCGTCACAGGAAAGCCGTTTAGATTCAGCCTTCGAATTCAGGAAAAGGCATTTTTCCACATGGGCTTCGATATTTCCCACGGGAAATTCTTTGTTGCATATCGGACAAGAGGACATCTCGGTCAAAAGAAGACTCGAAAGTACGAAAACTTCAAAGTTCAAAAGCACGACTGCGTGCAATGAGGGTAAAACTTGCGAAGAAAGGCGGGCAATGATAACATCCCCACTGATAACCTTTCGTAAACAAATCATTGATAACTAGAAATGTCATTAGAGCCGAAAAGTACTAAAGTTCAACCGGGCAGTTTATTCAAATTGCCTCCTTTTCGCCATGTACTTTTTGTTTTATAAAAAAAACTACTCAGTGTTGAATAATAACCCTTATCAGGATTAGAAAGGATGGAATGCTAAGAACCGTTATTCTTTCACGTGAATGGCCGACCTATGTGCCACTTCCTCACTTGGCTTTTTCATTTCTGACCATTTTCCTCGCATGGTGACCGATGGAAACTAGTATAAACCAAGTTCGGAAAAGAAGGGGAAAATCCTCGAATAACGGTCATGAAAAACAGACGGGAAACACCAAGAACACAGTGAGACATGGCAAGCGTCCAAAGGATTCAGATGAGTCGGATGATGGTTCGACGTGCCTCGAGGAATTTCAGCAACTGGTAAAGCATGAACACTCAATTAACTACACAACAGAAGAGAGTTTATAGTCTAACAAAAACGCTTAATCAATGGCATAAACTATTGATGATTTTGTGTTGATGCATCAAACCTTGGCACCCCATGCCATGTTTTCCTGATGGTATGACCCAGTTTATACCAAAACAAATGCATAATTAATATCCAATGGCATCCTTAAAAACAAAACTATAACTCAGGGGATAGGCAAAACTATTTACATCATTAAGGCCTCAGGACGTAACAGGTTATCCTCCAAGTCCACTCTTTCCCATTATTTAAAGTTGGCTCCAGACTACAGGATTCACCAGGTGTGGAGCAAAGTTTGCCCTCGACAGGTGGGGATAGGAGCTTGATTATTTGCCAAGCAACATTATTCGGTGCTCGCCTTGCTCGGCATTGTCGGTTTCCTTGTCCTCAAAAGTGAACAAATATTCATGAAGTAGCCGAACTCAAAGCATCCACACATTCTAGAATCAACTGTACTTATCAATGAGCACATTTATTTTTCAATAGTAAACTATTCCTAACTAGTATTGATGTGTTAATGAAACACAACAACATAGCATTGTTTCTGTCGGTTGGCCCAGCATAACAGTCTTGGAGAGCCTAGATCTGTACCAAGCTGAATAATAATTTGGAATGCCTCTCTTCTGAAACAGAAAAATCAGAACAAGTTTTTTGATGCATGGAAACGGATTGAAAGTGAAATAGGGCAACAGCTTCTGTGACTGAGTTTGTAGCCACTAGACAAAACAGTAACCGCAGCTGAAGCCATGACAGTTTCACTGTTGTCCATTATGATTGGTATTACATTGAAGACCCACATGGCACTTGGCAGATAGTATTCACTATTTCCGCACAAACTAGTACAAACCCCGCCTGTGTTAGCCACGCTATTTAGTGTATGCGAAGACGAGCATCTTGAGACTTGGCAAATGTCAATGGCAGCAATCGCCATTCAGCGAATACCACATGTCTGTAACCACCTTAATACATATTTAATTGTGTTTATTGCTTTGAAATCTAATGGGAGTAAAAGGGAGCCTCGAGAAGTATAGTAAACATATTGAAACAGAAGGGAAGTAGACTGACGTGGACCTTCTGGACTCTCGGACTCCATGGGAACATGAGGACCAGTGAAAAGATTGTCTTACTTGGTGTCTCAGTCCATGTCAGAGTTTAAAAGTAGACAGAGCTAGAATAGAAGTACTAAAACCGGAAAGATGTTCCTGGTTGTTCTTCTTGGAATCATCATGAGAGGGTTGGCAGAAGGCAAGTAATTGTTCCTTTTGTGCAGTAAACTGGTCATCCATTTAGCTTCACAAACCCTCTTGCTTAATATTACTGTTGTGAATTTTATGGGAAATAAAAGTCAATTCGATTGAAGGAATGAATACTAATAATCATAATATGTTTATTTAAGGCAAGCCAATTTAAGTACATTATACAATTTACATATTTTTCGCAGAACACAATTGATTTACGAAATAGATCCAATTGAACATTATTAGCCTCTGTGCATATTCTTTACATCAGAGAGTTGACCATGCAGTTTGTTTTGCTAATACAAACATAAAAGAACTTAGTATATCTAATTGCAGCTACCTAATATGAAGATAAATGGACATAAACTAACATCCAATGTGTTGATCCAAAGATTTGGTGTCAAGTAAGAAATGCCCTTAATTTGTAATTTTATGTATAATACGGAAGAAACAAATAAAAAACACACATAATTAGTTAAAAAGAATGGTTCTACTGCCAAAAAGGGCAGAAGCAAACAAAGCGACTGCACTTCCCCGAACGTTGACCGATCACAGATCCTTATCTAATAATTCATTAAACTGTAATTAAATATAGGATCAGGAATCCAAATAAGTAATAAAATAAATGTCTTTGCAAATTATCACTAATAGTGGACATTTCTAATTTAATTTTAAAAAATCAACAATCATCCTGTTTAATTTTTTATTTGTATAATATTTGATGCATAAACAAGAAATATTCTTACCAAGTGTATCATTGTTCATTACTTCAGAGCTGTTAAACACATTTTTTCTCTCGACCCAGTGCACCCTGGAATCAAGGAATTTATTCTACATTAACTAGTTGTCCAACTCTGTAATGAAATTTACCAAAAAACACAAGAGAAAAAAACAAAACAGAGTTAGTGAAAAAGAATGGTTCTACTCCCAAAAAGCCAGAAGCAAAACAAGCGACTGCACTTGCCTGAATGTGCTTATCTAATAATTCATTCAATTGTAATTCAATCTAGGTACAGGAATCGAAATAAATAATAAAATGATAAGTGTCTTTGCAAATTATAACTAAAAATGGACCTTCCTAATTAATTTTTTTTTTAAATCAACAATTGTCCTGTTTATTTTTTTAATTTTATGCAAGAAATGTTCTTACCAAGTGCATCATTCCTCATTACTTAAGATATGTTAAATACATTTATCCTCTTGACCCAGTGCACCCTGGAATCAAGGAATTTATTCTACATTAACTAGTTGTCCATCTCTGTAATGAAATTTACCAAAAAAACACGAGAAAAAAAACAGAGTTAGTGAAAAAGAATGGTTCTACTCTCAAAAAGCCAGAAGCAAAACAAGCAACTGCACTTGCCTGAATGTGCTTATCTAATAATTCATTCAATTGTAATTCAATCTAGGTACGGAATCCAAATTAATAATAAAATGATGTGTCTTCGCAAATTATAACTAAAAATGGACCTTCCTAATTAATTTTTTTTTTAAATCAACAATTGTCCTGTTTATTTTTTTAATTTTAAGCAAGAAATATTCTTACGAAGTGCATCATTGCTCATTACTTAAGAGATGTTACATACATTTTTCCTCTCGACCCAGTGCACCCTGGAATCAAGAAATTTATTGTACATTAACTAGTTGTCCATCTCTGTAATGAAATTTACAAAATCAAACAAAATACTCTTGTACATATTCTAAAGGAAAAAATCAAGCTTAGTCTTCTCTTTGAGCGCTGAAATCCATCATTTTCCTCTTTTTCGCTTCAGTAGAGTACACTTCGTAAAGGTCCTCTACAAGTCCACAGATGGCAGACCCTAGATAGAGCCTGTGTACAAGGGTAATAGAACTGTTTACGACTGTAGACCCTGGACCTAACTGGCTAATCCTCGGGTATGGTGTGACTGTAGTAGATCTTTTGTGCTTTCAATCAGATTACAATAAATTTTCTGAAATGTCAGCATTACCAATGTGGTACCCATTGAAACATTTATGGACCACTTCAAAAAACCTCCATTCAAATTAAATGATGTTTCAATTAAACTCGTCGATTTTGGAAATATTATGTAGACGATATTTTAAGTATAAAAATGGAACCCTAAAAGATTTAACAAAATTTCTCTAGGTAATTTATTCCTTATACCCTAACATAAAATTCGCATTATAAATAAATAAAAGTATTTAAACATTTTAGATTTAAAATTGTCTATAATGGATAATCTATTTGAAGTAGACATGTACAAAAAACCCACAATAACATACACCTTGATACTAGCGACTCTTAATATGAAATGTCCTTTTCTTCCAAATGCGCCAAGCCAAGGTACTTCACACATTATTTATTTACAAACATTTGGTTCAAACCAGTCAATCTTGCTTACAACCGAAGTACATACAACACATATTACATCCGTCTGTTAGTACTTTACATATGCCATGTTTCCTGATGGTATGACTCAGATTGTACAAAAACAAAGGCATAATTAATGATCAACAAGCAATAAGCAGGCCTTTGGATCAATCTAAATAATTATCTTTTAAATCTAAGAAACAGACAAAACCATTTACATCATGAAAACCTCAAGATTTAACTGTTATTATTCTTTTCATATCCACTTTCACTTTGTATCCATTCCATTACTTAATATATAATTCTTTACTCTTTTTTTTCCCTAAGTAACTCCAGTTGGGTTTATAACTGCCTCTTAACTCCTTGAAGATTGGTAAAATATATTTCTTCTTGAAGGCCTGAGGACCCAATTATTCTCTTCTCGTTCCTTAAAAATCATACACACTGCTTAATACATATGGAATTGAACTTACGTTTATAAAAAAGTGTCGATATATTTTTTTAGTAATCAATTTATTTATTAAAACTGGACTATAAAAGATATTTAAAATGTGTTATTGCACAATGCTGTTTACATGCAGTACAATATTTTCCATATTGCACAATACCTATCAAATTTTTTGATATCACAATATATTGCACAATCTTTCAATAACATCTAAACAGTATCAACTTTATCGCACAAACCTGAATATTGACAATAATATTACACAAGTATGGACCAGTTTAGTGGTGAGGGATGGTTAGGGTTCTATTAATTTCACTAGTTTTCATGGTCTGCTGTACCAATTAATAACTTTCAATTAATTAAGGTTTTTAGTTGAGATAAAAAAGTCAGTGTCACGAGTGGGATTCGAACCCATGATCTTCGGCTAGATATGCCGCTACTCTATCACTTGAGCTATCGAGACTTCGATCCACTCGGACACTAACTTCCCATCTCAACCCCACCTTTTGAATTTTCCCTACTTTTTGCCATTTTTCAAATGTCGTGTAATCTATTTGATTCTTGGCAACAAATGAAATGGCCATGGAGAACTTTAGTGAGATATGCTTCAATTTAACTTATTAAATTCACTAGTTTTCGTGGTCTGCTTGACCAACTAAGAACTTTCAAATTAAGGTTTTTAGTTGAGATAAAAAAAGTCAATGTCACGAGCGGGATTCGAACCCATGACATTCGGCTAGATACACCGCTGCTTCACCACTTGAGCTATCGTGACTTCCATCTACTCAGACACTAACTTCCCATCTCAACCAATGTTCAAACTGAAGTCTAAGAAGCAAGTTCATCGAGCTGGTCCTCTTCAGTCGTGTCACAGGGGTTGTAGGCTGGCTCACTTCGATGTTTGGATGTTCTTGGAGACAAGATTTGTGCTTTTTGGCATGATATGACCTCAGTAATTAGGTCTTATATTCTCAGGTCCTGATCTTTATTCTGTACGTACCAACAGGCATCAATCATGTTCCTTAGAACATTGTTCAGGAACTTTTACTCTGTTGTTCATTTTGGCATAACCCTACAACTATATTCCAAAGAACCAAATTGATAGGGTCTGATTTTAAATAAGAATTTTGTTCTAGATTAACAAATAGGAGTTTCAAGGGAACAATATTGTTCCTATACATTTTTTTTTACTGAAGAACCAACAGTTCAGTCACAATGGAAAAGCAATCCTAACGTCTGGAAAAATAAGCAAACTGCTAAACTACCTTAAGGATAGTGCACTTTTCAGGGTTTGGCCACAATCAGAGCTAGATTGATGGCATCGCGTACACCCACAGGCTCAGTAAGATTGTTGTTGCTCGGGGAGGACCTGAGCAGAAAGAACAGGCAGTGAGCAGTGGCAGCTTTAGCAAGAACAAGCTACCATTGCAGTGAAAGAACAAAGAATACTTCAATCCTTCTTAAAAAGATAGTTCCTACTCACAGTAAGTTTTTTTTTTACTCACAGTAACACTCTTACTGTGAGTAGGAACTATGTTTTTAAAAAGGATTGAACACCGCACTCACTCCATCATTCATAATTTCTACAAAGAAAACTTTGGTCACCAGGGACCCCATAAAAAAATTGCATTTGAATCAAAATTGGCATAAATAATTAAAAAAATTTATCTACACCTACACACAATTATCTAAGTGTAATTTTTAATTTGTAAAAGTTAAAATGCAAAAAAAAAATTCAAGGTGGATGGAGAGACACAAGGAGTATCAAATGATGTGTCAAGCACAGAACGGGCACCGTCCTTTCCAAAGAAGAGGTTTTTAATTAATCTCGAATTAGATGTTGTCGCTGTTTTTTTATTTGGATTAGCTGCAGTAAGCAGGTTTTATAAGCTTGACGAGCCTAGGCACATAGTGTGAGCATTTTTTTTTTTTTTAATCTCTCTCGAATTGTAAATTTTAAGACATTCTTTAACCTCAGATTTGATGAGCTTCATTACGGCAAATACATAGGGCTTTATATAAAGAACACGTTCTTCTTTGATCTTCATCCTCCTTTGGGGAAATTGCTGATCAGTTCGATCGCTCAATTCGCTGGTTTCGACGGTAACTTGAAAAACCAATTAGTTTAAAAGTAGAAAAGTCTATAAATATTTTTTATTTTCTTTTTAGGAAAGTTCAGATTTGATCGAATCGGCACAGCATACGATGAAACCGTTCCTATATTTGCATTGAGATTTCTTCCCGCACTATGTGGTAGTTTGATAGTGCCGACATCGTACTTTTTAATGCTAGAACTGAGATGTCAGCAATGGACAGCCATGCTTGCTGCTCTACTAGTGCTTTTTGGTAAATCAATCGATTGTCCTCCTTGTATTATTTCAAGACTTGAATAAAATATTTCTTTAAAAATAATAAAAATGTGATTTTTAAAAGCAAGAAAAATTTAAGGCTGTAATTAAAATGTTCAAGTAATACATTTATTATTATAAAAGACTTATTTGATTTTTGTGAGAAATCAGCAGAAAGTTCACAAAGGTTTTTTTAAAGTTAATTTTTATGCATATTTGTTTCAGACAATGCTTTATTGACTCAATCAAGATTTATTTTAATGGAACCTATGTTACTATTATTGACATTATTGGGTTTGCTTTCATTTTTAAAGTTCCGAAGGTATACAAACAACTTCAAACATCCAATGTTTTGGATCTGGTTATCGACATGCCTCACTTGTCTCTCTCTTGCTCTTTGGTACAGAAGTGAAAATAAATTCATTTTTCTGGTTTAACGAAAAAAAAGTAGATTATACATTAAACTGTCGTTTTAGTGTAAAATACGTCGGATTTTTTTCCCTCGCTTTGGGTGTGACGTTGATGTGGATGGATTTCTGGAGGCTCCTACCAAGAAAAGATTTGACAGACAGGATTTTGATTTTTCAAGGAGCATTCAGATGGCTTCTTTCCCTGATTATACCCGCTGTCGTTTATGTTTCTGTGTTTTATGTCCACCTAATCCTTTTGTACAAAGCCGGTCCACATGATTCTGTAATGACTAGTGCTTTTCAAGCCAGCCTCGAGGTAAAGCGTATTACTATTATTTATTCTTTACACTTTATTAACATATGGCTCATTTAAGGGTGGACTGGCTTCTATAACAAAAGGCCAACCGTTAGAAGTTGCTCATGGATCACAAATTACTCTTAGACACACACACGGTAAAGCTTGCTGGCTCCATTCGCATAATGCTGTTTATCCTTTAAGATATCCTGACAAAAGAGGAAGTTCTCATCAGCAACAAGTCACCTGCTACACATTCAAGGTAATGCTGGTTGTCTTATAAAAATATATTTGTTTGCATTTTAATCTGGCCTTTTGGAGATATGAGAATTTAAGTATTTTTCTTTTACTAATGTAATTCCTGTCATAAAGTTAACATCTAACTTGAACAAGGTTGCAAACCATTTTGTAAAACTTTTTTCATATTTCGATCAATTAAAAAAAACAATGGGAACTGCTAGTGTGGCAAATATAAGTCAGATGCCCAAACCTCTTGGCCGTCATGGTCCCTTCTGTTAATGTCTTATTTTATTGCAGGATTTGAACAACTGGTGGATTGTAACAAGGCCGAACGAAGCTAATCTTGTCGTATCAACACCACCTGACGCGATAAAGCACGGTGACATTATTCAACTTGTTCACGGAATGACTGGAAGGTCTTTGAATTCCCATGATGTCTCTGGTCCTATGTCACCTCACAACCAAGTGTGTTTTTAAAGCATAATATACAAATAATTAAGGTTTTTTAGTTGAGGTAAAAAAGTCAATGGCACGAGCGGGACTCGAACGGCTAGATACGCCGCTGCTCTACCACTTGAGCTATCGTGACCTCGATCCACTCGGACACTAACTTCCCATCTCAACCCCACCTTTTGAATATTCCCTCCTTTTTGCCATTTTTCATCGTTTTTATCTCAACTAAAAAACCTTAATTAATTGTAATATATTATTGGTCAAGTGGACCACGAAATTAGTGAATTTAATAATATACAAAGTTAAAACTAAAATTTTTTAACTTAATTATAATTTGTTTCTAGGAAGTCAGTTGTTACATAGACTACAATGTATCTATGCCAGCTCAGGACTTATGGAAAGTTGAAATTGTGAATCGAGAGGAAGAAGGTGATGTGTGGCATACTATTCAATCTCAGGTATTTACTTTTTATTTTATTTTTTAATAATGGATAAAATTAATACAAGAGCAATCATTCTAAAATCACATATTGTCTGTACTCTTGCAAAAAATACATGCAAATTTATTTGTACGTATCATGTACGAAGGTGCTTATTGTAAGTAATCATTTTCACAATTTTTTGTTGAATTCATCAAATGACTACTCCTAATGACTTTAACAAATTATTGAACAACCGGTCACTAAAAACATACACAAATAATTTTAACTACTAGGTGCGACTCATTCATTTCAACAGCAGCCAGGCTCTCAAGTACAGTGGAAAGCAGCTGCCAAACTGGGGTTTCAACCAAATGGAAGTGGTAACAGATAAAGTGACAGTGCAGGACAACACAGTTTGGAACGTAGAAGAGCATAGATACACAAAGTGTAAGCGCAAAACTTATATTTTTCAACTCTAAGAGTAAGATTTTCTCGATCGATTAATCGCACACACAAAAAATTTGTACAACTTAATTTTGTTACTAGTTAAAAAATAAGGCTAACATAACTTCGGATGCTGGTTTATTCTGTCATAATTTGTTTGTTTACATATTTATTTAAGTGTTTAATTATAATATCATGCAATTCATTTGTTGTTCAACTTTCTTGCAACAGTTTGCGAAAAAGGCAAAATTTTAATTGAAATAGGTGAGTAATTAAAATGAATTCAATTATAATTTGAAAGTTGTGTTGTGTTTGATGTGCTTTTGTCTTATTTAAAAAAATAAATTAATTAAAAAAAATAAATTAAAAATTAAAAAAACGAGAAAAAGTTCTCCGTCTGTTATAAAGTCTGAAAACAAAATTATCGGTTAAAGAATTTCTTTTTACATTGATTAGTGAAGAATTAAAACGGATAAATTTGTGTTTTTGTCATACAAGCATGCTTTTCCCGTTCTGCTTGTGTGTAATAATTTTAATTTTACATTTAATTTACCCCGCCCTTAAATTTAAAATTGTTTGTTATTTTTATATGAAAAGTAGATCTCGATCATAAGATAAACAATTTTATGTAATTATAATTTTCTTTATTGCATGACGTCTGATGTATTTTCTAATTGTTAAATGTGTTGAGGTCTGTGATGTATGGATCCTGCAGCTTGATTGCATTTGATCATCCTGAACTTGTTCATACAGGTTTTATATCAAATACTGAAACAGACAGGATGAACAAGATGGCAATCAAGACAATGACTTTTATTTTAAACTATTAGAATTTAATTTTTAAAAGGTGGAGGATGCCAGAGTCCCTCAGGGTAGTACCCTCAGCCTATTACTGTTCTCTGTATATATTGTTAACATCCCTTTACATACTGACACCACTATCTTAACAAATGCTCTCTCTCACCTCATCATAGCTCATCAGACCCTCCTGATACATCTATATTCCATTGAAGATGGTTCAAAAAATGGCGAATCAAACTAAACACTGCAAGTCCCCCTAACATTCACCCTCTGTAAGTTCACTTTACCTCCAAACTATTATAACATAATTCCCTTTCCATTAAAAACGTCAACCGCTACCTGTATCTAAACAACACTTCCCTAGAATCTCCATACACAATTTAAGAGGGATAGAACTGAACTGATAATACCGATTACTTAAAAGACTACTAGACAACAGGTTTAAACTCCCTTGACATATTCATATACAACTCGATACTGAAACCCATATGGACTGGAACTATATAGACTAGAAACCTTCCAATTTATGCAGAATCCAGACTCAACAAACACAAATCCATAGTTCCATCATCAACGCCCTGTTCGTTGTTTCCAATCACACCATCCATAACGACCAAAATGTTCCCGTTTTAAATGAAGTTGTAAAATTCAGCTGCAAAATATTCCACGCTAAACTCCAATCCCACGGATCTTTTCCCTTTTTTATCTTTTAAGACCTCAAAGCCTGCTATCATTGATGATTTCTGATTTAGGACTGCTATCACTGGATAACTTTTCCACTCAATGTCTTTATTTCCTTTTCATTTGTATTATCTTATCTATGTAACTTATTGTACTTCACAAATATTGTTGGCTCAATAACACAGTTTAAAAAAATTAGTCCAGGATGAGAAAGAACGAGAGAGGGATATGATGAACGCTGAAATGATTCCAATGACTGCCACCCAACTCCCGTTCTATAGAAAGTTTTTAGAACTCCAATATAAGATGCTGTTTACAACGCAAGAAAATCTCCAAAGCCATATGTACAGCAGCGACCCAGTCGAATGGCTGTTCATGACAAGGGGTATAGCATATTGGGTCAGCTCTAACCACAATGTATGCAATCCTAGTGCTGAAACAATTTTTACCAAATTTTACCTTTTTTTTCTATTTCAGGGCCAAGTACACTTACTTGGTAATGTACTTATTTGGTATTCTGGCACTGTGAGTTTAGTTATTTATTTGCTCATTTTAATTTTCTATTTGCTAAGGCGTAGAAGGCTCATTTATGATTTAAGCCCTGGTAAGCAATTTATATTATTTCTGTTCAATAATAGTTATTGTTATTTTTTTTAAACATCTATTTTGCAGTTGAATGGGAACAGTATAAATTTATAGGACAGACACTGTTCATGGGATTCCTCTTCCATTACATACCATATTTTTTTGTGGATAGGACGCTGTTCCTTCACCATTATTTCCCAGCTTTTCTTTTCAAGATACTTTTGACAGCTGCAGTCATTGAGCATATTCATTCTTTAACGAGGTAATTATTCTCATAATTTCAACTTATGAATTAGGACGTGAAAGTTAATTTTGTACATTTTGACAGGCATTTGAGATTCCTTCAGGCTCTATTCACATTTGCGATTCTGGTATGGATTATTGGAGTCGTTATCGTTTTCAAAATATTTTCTGTCATAAGCTACGGTGCCACCCCGCTTTCTGGCGATGATATCTTGAAGTTAAGATGGAGCGAATCCTGGGATTTTATTGTTCACAAAGAATAATTTAACTTATACTCGACATCTTTGTAAAAGTCTGATTGTAATTGGATTTTGTGTTGCCACAAGGAAAGAAAAAATAAGACTGCTAGATTTAATTTTCAATTTCATGTACAATTTGTTTTATAATTAATAGTTTTCTGCCATAATACTTGTCCACAAAAGTATGTGATAGGATAAAAATATTATTTATTCATACTGATCTGTCTTCTTAGAAGAAAAAATTAAATCATATATTTTCGAGCATTTATGAAATAAATGTCAAATTTTAGCAGGTCTTTTGTTTTGAATTTTTTATAATTTAACATTAATAAATTCCAAAATAATGTACATGTTAATAGTTTGAAATTTTGCGCAATGAATTCTTGTAGCCCAAAATTATTTTAAACAAAGATATTTTCTTAAATATTATTTGTCCTAATGACAATTTTGACAATACATAATTTTATTGCTCTGTTAATGTAAATTTGTAATTTTTGTATTATGTAAATACATTTTAAACTAATATTATTATTGTACATATAAGACAAATATTTTTTCTACATCAAAAATATCTTTATTATATTATTTATTTAAATAAACATTGCGTTTATATTTATACTTAGTATTTCTTACCATTCAACTTATTATGGGAGTTCAAAATTAGGATGGACTACATCAAAAAAAATTCTTTAAAATATTGGTCCATAGATAAGAGATTCTATTCTTCCCCTTATATGGAGGAGAGTGCACAAACGAATCAAGTTTCTGAGCACGTGGTATTTCAGGAATCACATTTCAGACGATAATTTCAGTTAGTAGATAATCCTGAACCCTTAAATTTTAAGCAAAGGCTTTTATNTAAGTATATATATATTGTAAGTAACCTCTTTTATACTGATCATGGCTAAAAACCAAAAAATGCCTGACCGATAGACTTACTCAGCAAGCATTCTTATATTCTTCCTGGACCAAGATGATCGAAACTGATCAAACTACAAGTTCATCACCCCACAGACCACAAGAAGAAATATCACAAGGGCCAAATATGTCAATAATTGGAAAATTAAACCTAACATAGGCAAAACCCAAACAATTTTATTTACCAAAAGTAGGCCCAATAAGTCATGTTCTGTTGTGGGTGCAGTTAGATTTAAAGGTAACCTAAGCCATGTCAACTCTGCAATAAAGCTACTGGAGGTATCCAGGCTATTTGCTTTACTTAATAGCAACTCTGTCTTAAATGTAGGGATGATATAGTTCACACAAGGGAGAATCATATAACCAGTACATTCCTTGTCCTTGACCCTGCCCCAGTAAATGCCCATATCCTAACCTGACCATTCTCCATCACTCTTATCCCTCTGCGTTGTCATACTACATTTTTCATGTGAGGAACCACCAGGTGGACTTTAGAACACACCCAATACACCTATAGTTGCTATACAAAAAATAAGTATCAAAATTAAGAAAATTCCATAGCATGTTAGTTTTTGGTTATCTTAGCACAGGACTTTGTAACAGTGGTTTAATTTTAACTGTGCATGCCACCATCTTTGACATTTCTTTTTTACAAATAATCCATGTATGAAGTATGCTGCAGCATCAATAATTTTATCCTCCAACTACACATTTTATACTCCATGCTTGTACACATATTTGGAATAATGGTATTGCACAGTGTTATGTAGATCTGTTATGCTTCAATGGCCAATTGTAATATTGAGTCATGATATTGAGCCTGTGCTGTTACACTTTTGTTAGATGGCTGACCCACCTTAAGCGTCATATCAGCAATGAGCTGGTTAAATTTGTGTGGAAATAAAAATTAACTATATTTCCTTTTCCTGCAAAGGCCAAGCTTTCTGGCTTTGATTTCTTGCATTGAAGTAGATTTTTTTCAACTTCACTTTTTCTCTTCTATGGGTGGGTAGTTACAGATATCAAAATAATGACAGATAACATCTCTATCAAAAAAATACCATTCCAAATTTTTCCTATCTGATAATACAATTTTTTTTAATACAATTTATAATTTCCTTTGTTACAATCAGATCAGATGATCAATCAGATATCTTAATATAAAAATAATATAAACCTAAATAAATTTGAAAACAAAAATAATAAAACAATAAGTAAAATTAAACAGTAATTCTGTCAAGCTATCTGACATGGATGCGGGGACAAACACTACGTTTTTCACTCTATTATCAATTAAAAATCCATGGATTCAAACTCAGAACCACTAGCTTGGTAAGCTGGTAGCTCAGCTACCATAGTCCCCATAGTAAAACAATATATTACAAAAAATGGAAGTGGAAAAAAATCATTTTGAAAAAGAAGTAACTGTTTTATTTATTAAATATTATTTCTCAAAAATGTATCTCAAAAATTGGTTGAATCAAAACATAATTATGAAGATGTGTCCATTTCTTCTGGGACAACTCTTTTTACTTCTTCACTATCAACTTCTAACGGGATCACTCTGTGAGAAAGGACGGCCGTTGTGCCAGGAGCAAAGCGATAATTCCCTTGCCTGAAAGTGACGTATCGAATAAGTTCTAAAGCACTAATTTAAAACAACAAATATAACCTTTGTCCTTTTATGTTTGCGACATCGTAAGGTCTAATGTAATCAACAGCGCCTCCTTTCTTGATTACACAAAGATCGCAGAAACTTCCTGATCCTAAATCATTGAAGATACCAGCTACAATAGCATTTCTTACTAGTTGTTTGCATTCGTCCTCCTGAATTGAGAAACAATTGAGCAATTCGGCAAACAATAGAATTATCTATACCTACTGTCATATTCGGGTGCCACTGGGATTCAAGTACAGAAGTGGCTGCGAGGGAACCAGATCCCATGCTTGTAAAAGGAAGTTTGTCAGTTGAACCGTGAGGATGAATACTATAGAGATGTGGTCCATCGTTATCAACACCTCCTAATACTAATGCAGCACCAATATATCCCTGCAATGAAACTCGTCATTTTTTCTTCTTCAAATAAAAGTTAAACATGACTCATACTTGATATCTAAAAAGTAATTGTTTTAACAAAGTATTTGCAGTGATAACGGGGACAAGTCTTCCTGTCATCAAATGGTGGAGTTCTAATTGAGACGAGATTGTGAGCGTAGTCATTTCAGTATCAGCAGCAGTTCCTGCTCCGCAACAACTGCAAAACAATTAATTTCTTTTTCTTTTTTTTTTCTTTTTCTTTATTTTTGTCAATTTACAAAATTTACAATTTTACAGATATGGTATTTATACAACATTATATTATGAACAGTAGATTTGTATTATATAACAATGGCATTCACCCAAAAGCCTCTTGGCTTGTGCTGGGTGAATTGGAAATTAATGGCTAAATGAACAGAAAGTGTAGCAGTCTGAATTAAAACCTGTTCAAACAAGTCCCACCAATGCTGAAATGTTACAAAATTATGAAAATGGAAAAATTACTTACTACATGTTCTTTGCAAGATAATGGATCTTAGTGCAGTTCTTATCGGCGACAATAGTGTCTTCTGTTGCTCTAGTATCAGCACCAAGGACTACACCATCAGCGAAGATAGCACCGACAATGGTTGTTCCAGTTTTAGTCGCTTTGGGAGTTACATATCCCTTTTCAATCAGATTGCTGTTCCTAAATTATTTTTTTAACTTTAGCATAATCCATTGTTAATTTAAATAATATCAATTGAATTTTTTTTTTTGGATATCTGGTGTTTAAATAATTCATTATTTAATTAACTCAAACTTTCCTCAAATGTGCAGTTTTCTTGCATTTCTCCAAGAATTTAACAGCATATAAAAAAACCCAGAGATTTTATTGTAAAAATATAATGTTTTTTCTAATCATTTTGGTCTACCTATCCTTAGATTTTGGACTATCATGTGTTTTTTTTCACCATTTTTAATGGTACGGTGAGATGGTGAATACATGACCAGATGACAAGTACAATGATGGACAATCGAAAAATGACTAAATTTCAGATATCAAGAAAAACAGTCACTCAGATCTGAAGAAGAAATCTAACAATATAAATCTTCAAACTACCTAAACTAAAGCAATTAAAAAGATATTATGGATTCTGCCTTTTTTTAATTTATTTTTTATACTAGCTAGTATTTTGCAAGGAATAAAAATCAAATTAGCAGGTGAAGACATTGTTGAGTAGTAATTTGGTTTCAAATTTTCCCAACAGGTGTTGTTAAAAAAAAAAAAATTAAAAAAGTTTGACTATATATAGATAATCTACAATAAAATTAATAATATATTATAAAATTGGAATAGTCCACTGACATTTATCTATAATATTAATCTATTCAGTTATTTACCTATTTCTAAAACACAAATCTTTTAATAAAATAATTGTGGGTGGCATGCATGACCCAATAGGTTGAATGGGGGAGAAAAAGACAATTGTATTATATTCCCAGCCCAGGGATTCTTTCTTAAACTGTGGTCCACGCCGACCATAACTGGGGGTCTGTGTGGTGAATTTCGAGAAAAATTAATAATTACAAAAATAGATGAATGAATAAAATTAAAAAACTAATAACTATGAGTACTGAAAATGAAAGTTTTTCTTTTGCAGTAACAGTCAATGTGTTTTTCACTTAGCTTTAGCTTCAATACTTTAGCTATGGAACAAATGCCAGCCTCTTTTAAGAAAGTTTTGGATGAGTCTGTTCAAATTTTTAATTATATCAAGTCACAAATAAATATACTTAGATTTTTCACAATTTTGATTGATGAAATTGTGAACACATTCGAAGTTTGGATATGTCCTTGGAGCATTACTAACCATCAGTTTGCAATACTATGCTGTAATGGGTTGTCAAATCGCTTTCCATTTCGACAACGCCAACCAATCTATTTTCAAGTGAATATGAATTTTGAGAAATGTTTTTTCCATGTTGATTACCAGAACAGAAAGAATTGGCCAAAGGAACACCACTAAAGGCAAACTCCTAATGGTACATTGACGGCTCCAAAACTGACAAGGGCATGGGCTGGAGTCTTCAGGATGAGACTAGAGACCGAAGTGATCATAAACCTAGAAAAATACGCAACAGTTTTCCAGTGTGAAATCACAGCAATCGAACACTGCGCCAGGAAATAAAAAGGCTAGGTATATATTCCCAGAAGATAGCCATCTTTTCTGACAGTCAGGCAGCAGTAAGGCCCTAGCCTCATGCGAGGTGAAGGCGAAGAATTGCACGGCCTTGACGGGAGTCAGTGAAGCTAATGACCTGACCTTGGCATGGGTCCCTGGGCACTTCGGAGCGAACATGGACTCTCTAGGTCCTGAACCCTACTGTGGCTTAGCAACCTGCCTCAAAATGGAATACATCTTAAAATGGATCCTTAATGAGTTCCAAACCTGGTGGAACAATACCATGAGGCACATGAAAAGATACACCGAAGGGCCTCCTGGACTCCAGACAGGGCACTGCCACTTAAGAAAGCACATGACCAGACAGGAGGACAGACGGAAGAAACGGTGTGCAGATACTGGCAGGAAGAGGAGACCGCAGGAGACATTTTATGTTTTTTTTTTAAAGTATGCAGGTGCAGGTTTTTGCAACTTGGACAGGAAAAAACGCAAGCAAGATCCTAGACTAACAAGCCGCTGGCAAGGCTGTTGAGTTTGATTAACAACCTGAAACTGGCCAGTGAGTTATAAAAAACATGGGAGCATAATAGATCTACTCGGGTCGAGGTGCAGAAGGCCTTGTGGCCGCCTCTTTTATTGATGGCTTATCCCTATCCATATTGATATCCCTCTCCATCACCTAATGCTAATTTATAAAACCTTAGTTTACTACCTGTACTGTACGTATCTAATTTTAAATACTTGAATGCGAAAGATTTTGTTCTGTGATAGGGGTCGCTGGCTAAAAAATTTGGGAAGCCCTGAAGTAAAATATTTGTTCTGGCGAATCTATTCACCAAGAGCTGGATAACAACATAACACCACCTTTGAATATAGTCACTCTGGAGGTAGGTGGAAATGCAATGGATTGAACATGGTCTTGTATGAAGTTTAGAGTCTTCATAGAGACAGGTGTGTTGTACATTTATGATTGTTGTCAGAATCAGTCAATAACATAAACCAGATAATCAATTTTAAGTATTTGTTGGGAAAAAACAACTGTGGCCAATTTTACCGAACTCAATGTATAATAGGAAATTTTAATTTACCTTTGGCAGTTTTCAAAATTAAACCCTCGTTGGGCCCTTTCCAACGCCAACACCCCAGCCATAATAGAACGTTTCTTTGAAATTAATTAATTACAAATGGATCGAGAAAACCCAAAACCGTTTCGGCTTAGTAATGCTGAAGTGTAAACTAGAAAATCCTGTTTTAAGGAGGTTTCATATTAATGCTGACTGGAAACCCAAAATTGCAAATCATTTTAAAAAAATTCGAATTTTTATTCTCACAACGATGGAATTGTTAATAAAAAAAAATTATTTATTTATCCTTTTTAATAATTTAAGTGACAAGTATGTTTTTTGTCCAATAGTTCATTTTATTACTGGTATACATCTTCATGGCGGATGACTTCTAATGTAATTTGTGATTGTTCTCAGTCAATTTTTAATTGACACTTACATCAGCTATTGTTTCAATTTCATTGCAATTGACTCATTGTAAGTTTGTTCAAAGTTATTTTATTTTGCGATTTGTAAAAAAAAAACCATATGCTTTGGTTATGTTTTGATTTTTGGTTATCAATACGTAAATAGGTGAAAGTGTGATAGGTATAGCTTTTATTTTGTTAAACGTTTCCAGCGTTTAATTTAATCCTTATTTTTTTAATCCAAAGCGGTATTGACGGCCGAAAATAATCGTCCGAAGTCAGATCCTCTGTTTAAATGCTTTCTTGAAACTGCCTTCGTTTCAATTAAACCCGATTTGAGTGAGTTTTGAACGTTTTCATAGAAGGGAATTGTAGGAAGGAAAATGATCGACAACCAAAAGTTAGGCTATACTTGCATTTTTATTTATCTGACTATCTGCACTTACAAAGACCTGACAGTGCAGACATCCGCTGAGAAGGAGATTCCGATGACCAAAGTTGGCCTCAACGCCAATATTGGCCCGACCATCAAATTCTTATATTGGTAAAATACACATTTCCTCTGATGCAAATGAACGTAAATAATCGAATTGTACACTTTTACAGCTATTCTTGCGGCTACAAGAAAGCCTTCGAGGATTATTCGAACATAATCAGGCAGAAATACCCGGACATCAGCATAACCGGAGCGAATTATGATCCGCCGGGATTACATATGATAATCGCCAGAAGTTTGGTAAACAAGGCCTATATTTAAATGTATTTTTACCCATGTTGAGTTAACATTACATCATCTTTTGAAGACCAAAACAACTTTACATAATCATTGAATAATTTACGAATTCACATTTTCCAGGGCTTTTTGAAAATGGTCATTATAGTCTCAGTTCTGAGTGGAATTAATTTATTCGCCAAATTTGGACTGCAGACGCCATACTGGTGGACATGGTGTACTGCGAACAAGCTTTGGTCGTGCATGATGATATTTTTCATGACGAATGCTCTTGAAGGTCATTTCATTTCAACCGGAGCCTTTGAAATCACTTTAAACGGTTTGTTTGTCCCTAGATTAATGTTAGATAACGTATTAATTAAATTTGTTTGTTTTAAAGATATGCCTGTTTGGTCAAAACTCGAGACGGGAAGAATACCTCAGCCGCCTGAGTTGTTTCAGATCATCGACAATCATATGAATTTTGGTTCTCTAGATATTAAAACTGGTTTTCCAAAATAAGTGAAAAAAAAGTTACAATTTATTGTGAATGTTTTAAGTCAATGCAAATGATTATTTAAAAAAGAAAAAAAAATGGCGTTTCTGTTGTTATAAATAAGAACCCTTGATGAATTAAGTATTGATATTCCTGTAGTTTAATTACCAAGAACTCAAGTTTTATATTTGTATTGTTTTAGTTTTATTACAATAATATTTGAGCGTACCATTAAATGATAAAATAGAGTCAGTCAAATGTAGATTTTTAACATTTTAATGGTGCCCGTACAACTGGTCTAAGTGTGCTGTGACATTAAAAATCTTAAACTTTTAAGAGCCTCATTTGAACATCACCTAACAGGTAAACATTCCAAATAAAATAGGCATAAAATTTATTGTTTACTACTATTTGAAGCGAATAATTTATTTTCTAATGTTAAGGACTAGGTTCAGTGACAATAACTTTTATGCCAGAACGATAAAACAAAAAATTTTTACAAATATTGTTATTAAATCAAACATTCATTAAAAGAGGTTAAATTAAGAAAATCACAGCAAATCATAAGGAGAGTGATGAACGTGTTTATAATTATTATGAAAAGGCCTAGTGAATGTTTTAATTTTAAATTTGCTATGTTGTTCTCAATAAAATGGATTTTTTGTCAAATGCATGTATTTCAATATAATCCTTTCCCTTAATTACTTTTTTATTTTTTAAGTACAAGTTCCTATCAAATAAGACAAATAGCTGAAATACATATACTTGATTAAATTTAATGGATTTCAGCAAGCAAGCAACAGCACACATTAGTGCTTTGATATCGCTCCCTTCCTTACAAAGCTTTTTCACCTATTGACGTTTTCTACCATAAAATAAATCAAAGAAAGTTTCAGGTTTTGAGCTTACTTCCAAAATCCTCACACCTACCCAAAAAAGCCATCATTTCTATTTGTTCTTTGTATAACCTACTTAACTTTAGCATAGAAACCACTCATTTGTACTAATGTTCCCTAAACCATAAAACCAACACGTACTGTTTCGCATAGGACAATACTGACCATTTTGAGTAAAAGTGTATAATAGCAATATATATATAATGTGGGCTGACAAACAGCTAAGGACATCAGCGGCCCTCTGTGTGTTTTTAATTATTTTTATAATCTTTCTAAGGTTGAAAATGATGAAAATAGAGGAGAAAAAGTTGCATATATTCTTACAATTCAAGGACATATAAGTCCATACACTGATGGACCAAATATATTGCACCACTCAACTTATTTAGATAAAAATTAAATCCATCATCTTTCTACATTAGTTACAGGTAATTCAAAGACCTTGTAGTCAAAATAAACAGTAAATAATGCTTTGTTTACTTCCTTTCTTTAATTTTGTACTGATTTCAAATCCCATTTGCACAAAAAAGTAGCATTATGCTCTTCCATAATGTTACACCTAAAAATGCTTTCAGTTAACCTCTTTCCTTTGTATTCATATTCTTATTCATAGTCCTTTTCCAATGGCTTCAGTCAGAGTTTGAGATTCCTAATCCTGGGAAAGTGAAGGAAACACAAGGGTGCCCCGATAAAACAAGTTGGAAATGTTTCCATTTCCATCAGGACTGTAAGAAGAAAGCTCAATGAAACTAACCTCAGGATCTGGCACCCGGCTTGTGAACCTCCTACCACAGCTCAGAAAATGGCTATGCTTCAATTCGGACGGGAATACATGAATTAGACATTGGAAGATTGGGAACCAGTTCTCTTTATAGAGTTGAGTTGGCCTCAAATCTTCAGATGAATGATATTTCATATGTGGGGATGCTTAGGAGAAAGGTACATCCCATACTGTATGGTTCCCAGATGGCATTCCATGGTTGGTCTTTGATGTTCTGGGGTGGCTCTGGCCAACACCTGAGAAGGTGTCTTCCCTCTTACACGTTATTGAGAATTGACCCCTCGAATACAAGGGCCATCACTGCATAGCTGTGACACTTCTGATCCTAAATTCTCAAAATATAAACTCTGACCATCAATATGGTTTACGCAACTGCTGTTCAACTATATAACAGTGTGTGGTAGACATTTTATCCTTTTTTATTGCATTGGGGCAATGCTGGTCTGAGGCGTTTCTTGACATAAGCCAAACTTTTGATCAACTTTGGCACCCAGGCTTGCTGTCCATGTTCAAGGGTATTCTTCCCTCCACCTATTAGCACTGTCATCTCATTGTCCAGTTGTTCCGAAATAAAGGCAATTCCCTCTCAAAATATTTCCCTATCCCTGCTGGGATAGGGTTCCTCAGGGTAACGTTCTGGTCCCCTGTTATACCAAGTTTATTCAGCTAGCATTCTACCACATCCTCAAACCCCCAAACTCACATTTGCAAACAATCCTTTTTAATAACTCTGATCATGTCATTTCCATTCAAAACCTTCAACATCTCACACTACTAGAGTCTTGGTGAGGAAATAAAATTTTAAAAAATTAGCACAGAAATCCACATACAATCCACATCCACTCTCAAAAAGATGTCCTTCAGTTAAATACTATTCCCAAACATGGTGGGTAACTCAGCGCATCGACAAATGCTTGACGTGAAACTGAAATATCAAGAAGTTATGATACCATACAGAACTGCTGCTCTTGTACAACATCTTGCCCAACGCTCTGTTTTACCTCCCAAAAATAAAAGGCTGCTTTAGCAGTTTTTGTTTTGTTGAAGAGCAATTAGTACATTCGAACGCTTCAGACCTCCCTAAAAATAATTAATTTAAATTTGTTTTCTTCTGTTCTTATTTTATGTATTCAGATTTTTAGTTTTTTTTTCTTTAATTTAAGTTCTTTGGAAGTCTTTTTTTTTCAATTATTTAGTAGCTGCAATTTGCATTATAACATATAAAGTGCATTTATATATTCCTTTGTCTAAGACGAAATCCTCTCCCATTATTGAAAATTTCACAAAACCCTTCCAAACGCTGTAAATCAACACATCCAAAAACTCACATCCCGACAAATTCCCTCGAACCCTCCTCACTGACTGAAAAAACGATGGCTCCAAGATCTGCAAGAGTATCCAGGAATTTCATTTCAGATAATATTAAGTAATAAAGTACTTATTCCTCTCCAGTGATCATTTTTCACATTTGTTTAACGTTTTAATATTCTAAGTTTGAAGAAGTAATTGTTCTTTATTTATTCATTTTATTTTTATTTGTGTCTTTTTGCCAACATCCATTGGCAGAAGAATATTGTCCATAACCACAAATACTTATGGAAGAAAAGAGTAAATAATTTACGATTTTATTCCTAACTTATCCAAACTTTTTTTGTCAGGACGACTTTTTCTTAGCTGGTTGCTTTATCCTGTAATCTGGGAGTTTGGACCTTCAAAGTACACCAAAAAACAATTATTTTCAATGTTGGCTACTCTGGGTTATTTTATCATAGTAAATTAACAACTTATTAAATACAGGTATGATCGGAGACAATCTAGTCACAAGATTATCCCAATATGCTTCCACAACTTATTAAATGTTAAATTTGACTATGATATACAATATTAACCAATCTAACAGGTATTTAAAGTAATTATTGTGTGGCAGATCTTATGATTTATCTTTCTTTCCCCACAGAATTTCATTAACAGTAAAGGTTACGATAGCTCAAGTGGTTAGAGCAATGATGTATTGAGCCGAAGGTCATGAGTTCAAATCCCACTCATGACACTAATTTTTCACCTTAATCAAAAACCTTAGATAAAAAAAATAGTTAATTGGAATAATTAATATGTCAATTAAGACCACCAAGCAAATATGGATTAATTCTGAATTTATTTATTTCATTGCATTTTTTTGATATAATTAAAAACATTTGAATATAATTTTAGCATTGCCTGCATGTTTATATGCCAGAAAATATTTTGACTAATGATAAGATAATATATTAATTAAGTAGCAATCAATTTATTAAACTTGTGTTTATTAACTTTTTATTTTAAATAAAAATAACTTTTGGTATTACATTCTATGTGATATGTACATGTATTTTCATTTACAATTTTATTCAAAACAAAAACATTTTACAATACATACTTTATTAAATTATAATCTATTTAATTACAAAGAAAAACCATTTCTAATTACATAAAACATGATGGTGGCAGTGATAAAAATTATGTATATTTTCTTCTAAATGCACATTATTTACAATTTGAAAAAATCACAATTGGCCTTTTAAAGGAAAGTCTTGTTTTAACATTATTATTTGGTATTAACTAATTATGTGGGTTATAACGTGTAGTAACAAAACTTCTCTTCTTTCTAACACACACAGCACATCGACTAATTTTCGTAGTGTGCATCGGCTCTTTCAAGGTAGAAGTTATGGGCCTTGAAAACATTGCTCTGTCATCAACGGTGGCCAACCAGAAACTAATTCCTGTTGCATAATAATTGCATTTTCCGGCTCCCTGACACTCAATAAACGGTTTGTCTCTGAACTCTTGTAAGCAAGAGCCAGGTGAAGCCAATGATTGTGTACCACCTCGTCCACCGACAGCAGTATGCTAAAAATGAAAGGAAACAATTGAAATCTAATCACTTAATGTCACACTTTTTCACTTACCATTACAAAACTATAGCCGGTCCAAAGCTCATCCCATCCATTCGGGCATGACGGTACTGACATGGCTTGACTGTGTACAGCTAAAGGTTTGTACGAGGCCTCACAGACAACACATCTAAAATGAAAATCAAATAGATTTAGCGTTAGATATTTGAAACAACTCTTGTATTATGAAAAACCTAAGTATAATGTTGTGAAGTAGATGAGAGCAGGTGGTTATTGACAACTAGATAATTTGGAGATTCTGAATCAATTTGTTGTTAATAGTAACTTGTTTTCTGGTCTATGTAATCAAGGATAAGTCTACATTGTACTCATCCCTTTATGCTAGGTCTAGATTTGAAATCTTTGAAGGAGCGAACATCACCAAATAACTCCCTGAGATAAAATGGTACAAAATCTTGGGGTTTGTGAACAAGTTCAAGAGATTTATGCAAGACACGTGAGCCAACCAAGTCCCAGATCTTTTAGGGATGGGGTACGAGTCTACCCAGGCATTTAACCCCTCGGTTCTGGTCGCCCACCCTATATAATATCTATATATATACTCATCCCTCCGGCTGATTTCACACAGGAGGGCTTAACATCCAACTCCAGTTAGGTGTCGCTGATGAGGGGTCAAACTTTTTTTCAATACGTTGACTTGTTTTTAAACTAATTCAATGACCTGGGACTACTTACAGATGATCAGAAACAATTCATCATTTTTAGAATCAAACTAACAACTAGTTATAACAATCATAGTCAAACTATATACAGAAGTACAAAGAATACACTCCATTTGTTTCCAAGCACACAGAAATTGGGGAAAAAATGAACAAGCATTTACATTGGCATAATCCAAACTCTTCTGTACACCAACAGATAAATTTGTAGAACAGAAGAATATGAGATAAAGCAATAAAAATCTGTAGGCACCCACATTCTAGATTTTAACTTCCTAATGCAAGGACAAGTCATGATTTTAATAGGCTTATTGGTCGAGTACTGAATTCACGTTAGACTGACATGTGTGACTGGGCATGACATCCTGCAAAATGTAAATCCTGCAAAAACGCAACAAAATACTCTGACAGATTAACTAAACAAACTGAAGAGCTGAATCTTCTACTGGAGATTTTTTTTTTTTTTTTTTTTTTTTTAATTCAAACTTCAGACGGCAAGTAATAAAATTCATAGATAAATTATAAATCAGAAACTTATCAGTTTTACTACAGGATGAGCTGTACCTCTTGAAGAGAACAATATTTACTCTCATTATTTTGGAAAATTTTGTTGGTTATTTGTTTAGATTTAAAATTTTCCTTGTTTATTCATAGAAATGAAAGACGTCTGAATAATAATTTTTAAAAAATTTAATCATACCTTGAAATATATCTTCCCATGTCGTGGACTGGTATGGGAGCCATTGAGCGCAGCATTGGTTCAGTTGTACTCAACCAGAAACTGTACTCACCACGAGTTGCATACTGACAATTTGAATTTGTTTCACAGAAGAGGAATGGCATTGCTGAGAATTTCCTTAAACAGCTTCCAGGTAAACCTTATAACAAAAATTAGGTTAAACAAATATTAAATTTAGATAAACTTATACTTAACCTACCTAAATCTTGAGTCTTTGACTTGTGGTCACCCATTATGCTTAGCAAGGAATAGCCAGTCCACATAGGTGTGGTCCCTTGAGGACACGTAGGAATATTTTCAGACTGTGAGTGGTATGTAAAATAGTAGCTTTGTTTTTTCGAATGTACTTTAGTTGCTGGCAAACGCAAACCACGTGGTCCATCAAGCCCTGTGAAGATTTAAGAAGAAGATCGTATTTATCAACTTATTAACATTTTCTAAACAGCTTCTCTATTAAAATCATAGGTACAGCTATTATAATAATCACCTCTTAATCCAACATCTCCTTTATTTCCTGGTAGTCCTCTATCTCCTACGGTTCCTCTTAACCCTGGCAATCCTGCAAATCCCTTTCTTCCCCTTAAACCACGATCACCAGTGTCACCCATCATTCCCTTATCTCCTGGTATACCTGGTCGTCCAGGTACTCCGACACGACCTATAAATCAAAAGCGATAAAGAAAACACTCTTGATTTATTCAATTATAAAATATTACCTGAATTTCCTTTGTCTCCTCTGAGACCAGGCGGGGTATAGACACCCGCTGATGTGAAACTCTCTCCTGGCAAACCTTTTGGACCCTAGAACATAAAAACATTTAAATTTAAAATTTTTTAAATGTTAAAGTATTAACCGTGGTATGTATGAAACAATAATCTTTATGGATTAATTTTTCCTGCAAGAGAAAATTTGAAATAAATATGTTTGATTTATACTAATTACTCGTAATCCATGTGTTCCATTAATGCCCGGTTCGCCTCTTGGTCCTGCAAATCCTTTTCTACCCTTTGGACCTGGATATCCAATTGACCCAGGAACTCCCTCATCTCCTTTTTCACCTTTCTCACCGTATAAACCAAATTCACCATCATCACCTACATCACCTCGCAGACCTTTATCACTATAGTGATACAAAAAAAAAGAAATTTCAATTAATTAAGCTCTTCTGAAATATTAAACTAAAAATATTAGTTTTATTATAGTTAGAAACTTAAATATTCTATTTGCGTACTGTTATAATTAAAGTAAGTTATTAAGTTTTTGATAATTTGGGAAATTATATTTATAATTATAACTGTTACTTAACCATTTAAAAAATTACAAAACCTGATTATTAAAATAAAAGTATTCTTTTAGATTTGTAAAAATTTTAGATTTTAATTATTGATTCTATGAAAATGTAATTTAACAAATTTTTTTCTTTACTTTAACATACCTTTCGAAATAGCGGCCATCTTCTCCTGGGAATCCTTTGTCTCCTTTTGGACCATCTACTCCCCCTCTTCCATCCAGTCCCGGTAAACCAGGTTCTCCATGGAGAACATCACCTGGTTTGATTGCATTATGTGTGTTATAAATAATTTTAGTTTGAATTGTTTATGACGATGTCAGTACTTTTTGATCAACTGAGTAATTTTAGGGTAGCTTAACACATTACCTCTATCTCCTTTACTTCCTCTTAGGCCTTTAAATGAATATCCAGCGTCTCCAATTTCACCTCTGTCCCCATCATCTCCAAAGTCTCCTGGGGCACCCTTTGGTCCTTGTAGTCCTGGTGAACCATCAAGTCCATCGATACCGTTCCAACCAGGTTCGCCCATTTCTGGCATTTCATCAGGTATTCCTTTACATACATTTATACAGTTGTTATTGTTCGTTTTTAAAAATTCTACTAAGAATAAGAAGAATTCTACCTGGTAGTCCAGGTGCTCCTACTTCTCCTATATATCCTTTTGGTCCTAGGACTCCCTTCAGCCCTATTTCACCTTTGTATCCAACAGGTCCTCTTGCACCCTTAAAAAATAAAAGAGGAAAAATAGTGTTATTTGCATTAAACAAGTAAATGTTTGCTAAATAAAGAAAGGAAAAACATTGAACTGATTTGATTCATAACAATTTTTTTTTTAATTTGTTAAAAACGAACATACATTTTTAATACAGAAAAAATTACATTATCTTACAACATAAATGTAAATAATGTCAATAATGTAAATTATTACACAATTTTAAAATTTAACTCAACTCAATTTATTTACCTTTCTTCCAGGTGGTCCATGTAATCCTTTGTCACCAGTATCTCCATACCTGCCACGTTCACCAAAGAGGCCTTGTTCTCCTCTTTCTCCTTTATGAGGATGGTATGTAATATTTGTCATTCCAGGATCTCCTACAGGTCCCATATCTCCTTTTTCTCCTTTAAATCCAGGTGAACCAGGAAATCCCACATCACCCGGAAGCCCTAACAAAATATGAAGAGAACATTTAAATTATTAAAACTTATAATAAATTAATAACAACTTGTATTGTAATTAAATCAATTTTAGTCTATTAAAAATGTTATGAAATTATTAGACATCATTATTGATTTATTAATTTTTCTTTTTGTTTACCGTCTCTTCCCATTTCACCAGGGTCTCCCCATTCTCCAGGTCCACCATCATATCCTCTTGGTCCTTGGTCTCCTGGTTCACCTGGTTTTCCAGGGTCACCCTTGCTTCCTGGTAATCCTTTGAATCCAATAAAACCTTCATTTCCGTGAGGTCCTGGCATTCCACTGACTCCATCCAAACCTTTGTCTCCTGTATCACCCTACAAATAAAGGAAGATGTTAACCTTTTAATTATAAAACATATTAAGTACATATTAAATTATAAGACATTACTTTGAATCCTTTTACTCCTTTCATTGTGTTCAAGCCTGGTTCTCCTGGGATTCCTTTATGCCCTGGGTATCCATGTAAGACCAAGCCATCTTCTCCTTTTTCACCAGGAAAACCATCCATACCAGGTTCTCCTACATCTCCGACAAACCCCTTTCGACCTATAATTTATAAATTAATGTTATGAAATAATAATAATAATAATAATAATAATGAAGACATTTTATAGATGTCTAACCTGGGTACCCCTTTTCTCCTAATGGGCCTTGAAAAGCAGCATCACCAGGTGGGCCTGCAGTACCTTTCAGTCCTGGATCGCCGTATAGCCCCTAAAGATAATAACACTAAAATATGTACTCTTGTATTGATTGTTTTATAGAACTTACGTGTCGACCTGGTGGACCTCTGTAACCTTTAGGCCCAGTGACACCTACAGGTCCTTTGGGGCCAAATGGACCTTCTGGTCCTCTGAGCCCTTTTAGACCAATCTGCCCATCAAACCCTAAACAACAAGAATTATTATAACTGAGTAAAATATTTAACTTTAATAATGAAAAGGAAAGATGACAAAACTAACCTGGCAAACCAATTTCACCAGCTTCACCAGGATCTCCAGTTGTTCCATTATACCCATCTCTACCGTCATACCCTCGATTTCCAGGTCGACCAGTATCGCCTTTTTCTCCTTGTTCACCCTTGTCTCCCAAACTTCCTCTAGGGCCTAATTTTCCTTGTGCACCTGGCCAACCCGTTCTACCTAAAAGTACAATTGATTTTTATATAAAAAATACATTAGGTACATAACACATATCCCCATATAAATTATCAGAATTTTTTAATAGGATTGTACGAAGGGGAACTTCAGTGGCTGAGTGGTCTTAGATATCACCCTCTTAATTTATTACAGACCAGGACTTATTTAAGTTTCCTGTCAAGGTTTCCAGTTATGAAGATAGTTTTTCCAAAATTTCTTGACTTATTTAGAATCCACTTTTTTTATGACTACGTGAGGAGTTGGGATATTATAATTTTTTTTAAAATCAACAATGATACCAAGAAAGTGTAATAAATAAACAAATATGACATAATATTGAAACAGGTTTTCATAAAGGAGGATGTCCTGCCACTTTAAAAATAGTGGTGCAAACTTTTATTTGTATTGCCTACAGTTTCAATGAAATGTTTTTAGTTTCATTTAGTAGTAGTATATTTTAGTTTTAGTTTAGTATAAGTACGAAATTTACTTTGATCATAGGCAATTTTAGTGTTATTGTTGAGAATGGTACTACCAAAAAGATAATTTTAACTATTAATTTGTTATAAGATTACATTTGTATTTTAAATTCTAGGATTTGAAAATGGTTGAAGTAAATAGGAAGCAAAAAATAAATATTCAAACCTTATTAAATAACAAGTTGCAAAACTTAAGGACAATTACCTGTTGGTCCTCTTTCACCTAGTATGCCGAACATGCCTGGCATTCCAGGATCTCCTGTGACTCCTTTCACTCCATCAAGTGATGATCCCCGTTCTCCTTTAGCACCCTAAAAAATATAGTGCAATAGTGAAAAAAGGAATTTTCTTCAAGTTAAAATAATAGTTTTAATACCAATGGACCATCTCTTCCATAATGTCCTGGTGCTCCTTTGGCGCCTTTGAAACCTATTATTCCGTCATCTCCTTGCTCACCTTTTAAACCATCTTGTCCTTCATTTCCTATCATACCTTTGAACCCTTTCGGTCCATCAGGACCCCTTACTCCAGGTAACAAATTGTATTCGCCCGATTCTCCCATTAACCCTTTTTGTCCTTTCCATCCCTGTATAATCGAATTAAATTAAATACAATATTTGTTTGTTATTAATATGCATAAAACAGTTCGCAGTAGCGTTTTCTTACCTGAGCACCTTTCTCGCCAATGTTTCCAGTACGTCCTTTGACACCCTTTGGACCCAATTCACCTACTCCTCCTGGATATCCTTTAAGTCCTCTTCTTCCGACTTGTGATACACCCATGTTGCCTTTTGCACCTCTAAAGCCTGACAGGCCGTCAACTCCTTGATCTCCTTGTTCACCTCGTGATCCTTTTGGACCTACAAGATTTCAATTTAAAAAATTAACACAAATCAATTTATTTAAAGAATGATAAATTGAAATTAAACTGACCTTTACGACCCCTTGGACCAGGATCGCCGGGTGGTCCTGTTCCTTTCTTTATATTGTCAGGAACATCTCCTGGTGATCCTTTTACCCCTCTCCTTCCTGCAGTTCCTTTTAATCCTGGCAAACCTTTGTCTCCTCTGTCTCCCTTCAATAATTCTAATGGAGTGGTGTCTGGATCACCGGAATCTCCCACTTCTCCAACTAAACCAGGTAATCCTGGTTTTCCTGGAATGCCAGGTTCTCCTCTTTCACCCTAAAATATCATTTACACTACTGCTACTAATGGTATAAAATTTTTCAAATGTATAAGGATATAATTATTTTTATATTGTAACTGTTTTAGTTCATGAATTTTAACATTAGTAGTCAGAAACTTCTGGCTGTAAGAATGTCCCTCTTTTTATTGACAATTCACACATTTGACTATGATTATTATTTATTTTATTTAATACGATTATTTGTAAACTCAATTATCAATAAATGATGCTGAACAATATGCTATATAATACTCAATTAATTGTACACAATTTTTTTTTAAATGAAAAATTTGTGTCACAGGCGGGATTCGAACCCACGACTTTTGGCTCAATACACCGCTGCTCTACCACTTGAGCTACCGTGACTTCGATTGCCCATGCCACAAACTTCTCATTTTGACTACCCAATTTTATTCTAATTGTAAGCAAATCGCGGCTTCATATAGAAACACTTTTTATTAACAATTGTACTAGATTAGCTATATAATATTAAATGATAATCTTCTCAAAGAATCCAAATAGACAAAAGTTATTATTACTGTATAGCCAGGTGATCCCAAAGTTCCATTTCGTCCAGGTGGTCCATCACTCCCTCTAAAACCAACATCACCTTGATTTCCGGGATAGCCCTTTGGTCCAGGATCTCCCACGTCAATATCTAAGGTTTGACTTAATGATGATAAATCAGTTCCCGGTGGTCCTTTATCTCCCTGCTCTCCTTTATCACCTATACATAAGTAATTGTACAACATTAATACAAACCATTGATAATTTTTTAAAATTTATTTACATAAACTAATTATTACCGAAAGGTCCTAGAATTCCCTTACGTCCTACTGGTCCTCTGTGACCAGGAAGTCCCTGAGGACCTGTCGGCCCTTTAGGACCTCTTCTACCCAGCTGACCAACATTTCCTGGTTCGCCATGTGTTGCTGCATCTCCCTGGATACCTTTAGGTCCTTTCTGGCCTAAAATAATTTTAAAACTACTAGATTTATTTTTAAATAAATTATTAAATTAACTTTTAATTTTAAACCAGTCTTATCAAAAGTTTTACTGTTTATTTTTTTAAATATCATTGTTTTAAATGCATCATAGTAAATACCCTGACTTTTAAATTTAAATTACATTCATTGGCACATAAAATTTATTTATTAACCGATGCACAAATTTATACCCTTTAAAATCAAAACCAACAAGGTCTTCATTATTATGAATTTCAATTTTATTTTGAGGAAAAATGAAGAAGAAACTATTTTCATCCTTTTTAATAGAAATTATAAATGATGGGGTGAGTGTGTAAAACTATTTTAGGTACTAAAATAATGTTTAAATAATTTATATTAAATTTTTTTTAAATGTTGCAATTAAAATTGTATTGTTTAGAATCCAACAAGCCTTTGATGTTGTTGATGATATTAAGTTAAAAAGTATAGTAAGGTTTTTTTAACTAGTTTTTATTGTTTGTTGATGCTTAATCTCATTGTAATTGTACTTACCACCTTCACAGTAACCACAGTCATCTCCTCTTCTTCCTTTTGGACCTCTTTTTCCCGGAAAACCATCATCACCAGGATCACCAACTGTTCCTTGCCTTCCTCTTAATCCAGGTTCACCTGATGGCCCATTTATTTCTACACCAACTCCCCTTTCACCTTTGGGCCCTAGAGCACAGATAAATTTCTTTTTTGTTATATAATTATAATAAAAATGTATGTAAGTATTTATATTGAATACTCACCTCTCCTTCCAGGCTCACCCCTATCCCCAAATGGTCCATGCCTTCCGTGAAATCCAGGATTTCCTGGACGTCCTTTTGGTCCCACAACTGTTTCTCCTTCTTCCCCTTTGCGGCCTTCATTGCCAGGTGGTCCTCTATCTCCAATAACACCCTGAGCACCAGGTTTCCCTCGAAATCCTTTTTTTTAATGAAAAATTTAATTAAATTTAAATTATTTCTAAAATTAACTTTTTTGTACACATTACCCTTGTCTCCTTTTTGCCCCTTGATTTCATCTCCTCTGGGACCCTTCTCCCCAGGAAGACCCATGGGTCCTGGATTTCCCTTTGGTCCTCTAACTCCATAAGCCCCCTTCCGACCATCTTGCCCTTGCTTGCCTTTTTCACCTCGAAAACCTTTATAATTTAGCATAAATATTTTGTTTAGTAAAAAGTTTTAAAATAGAGTTTTAAAGATTTTTTGAAAGTGCAAACCGATAATTCCTTGAGGGCCTCTTGAACCTGGTTGTCCACCAGTGTCTAAACTAGGGTCATATACTCCTGGGCTTCCTTCTGGTCCTTGTAATCCTGGGACACCATCATTTCCTGGTCCTCCTAGCAGTCCCTTGAAATTAATTAAAAAGAATTAATTTATAATCTTTATAAGGTGGTATTGAGACATATTAAGTAAATAATATTTAATTTCTTGCTGGAATTAAAACAACAGAAAAATTGTGAGTGCTATAATAACAAGTTTATACATAATATTCATTATTATGATGCGATGAAATATTAGTTATTTTATTTTAAATATATTGAAATGTACATTGATTATAGGACAATCATTTTATTTAGTATCAGACTAGAATCAAAATATACCTTTATCCCTTTATCGCCTTCGGCACCTTCATAACCAGGAGCACCTTTGAATCCTTTTGGCCCTCGTGGCCCATATGTTCCTTCCTTGCCCTCTTTACCCACAGGTCCTTCCATGCCATAATCGCCTCTTCCACCTTGCAGTCCTTGTATACCTCTTTGACCCTAATGCAGTCAAAAATAAATGTAACTTACACTAATAAAAAATCTCACTAATCACCTTTGGTCCACTTTCTCCTTCCAATCCTTTCATACCCTTTTCTCCTATGTCACCAGTTTCTCCTGCGTCACCTGGTTCACCAGGGTATGTAACTTCCCAATAGGAATGACCTGGGGGTCCTTGAGGTCCTGGTGCTCCCTAGATTGCACATAACGTAAACTATAGTGCTACGGGAGTGAATACATTTTAAATACCTGAGCTCCTAGTTGACCTTTTGGGCCTTGTCTATCCAGCCCTCTCTCACCACGCTCTCCTTTGTCACCAACAGCCCCTGGATAACCCTGAAATTTTCATGTTTTAAATATAGATTAAAAGTATAATTTTTTTAATTGGGTGAAAATATTCATTATTACAGTTAATAACACAAAGTTTGACTTACTTTATCTCCCATTTCTCCCTGTTCTCCTATTTTACCTTCATAGCCGTCAACACCTTGAGGGCCCTATTATCAATTAAAAAAAAAAAATTGCAAATATCTCCCAAAAGTAGTTTTGTTTTAACAAACACCTGTGATCCATCACGCCCTCTCTCACCCCTTTCACCTTTCGTCCCTTTTGTATTGGCTCCGCCTTCACCAGCGTCACCAGGAGGACCTCTTGGACCTTGCTTTCCAAGTAAGCCTCTAGGCCCTAGATGACCTTCTTCTCCAACTTCTCCTTTACGTCCATCAGTGCCGTCACATCCATCTAGTCCAGGTAATCCTGGCAATCCTTTTTCACCTTTATATCCCTTTTAAACAATCCCAATTGTTTAAATAATTGCAGATGTGATAAATGTAAATATACTTACCGGATATCCTTGTTTACCTGGTGTACCCATGAGCCCTGGGTTTCCCTTAAAAACAAAGAAATTGGAAATTTTCTTGCTTCTTTTAAACTTAGGTTAGTAATTCAAAAATATGTATCCAAATATTGAACTTTACAGTTTAATTTTAATTAATATCACAATTCTTCCATTTAACACACAGTTTTTCTAATAATAAACTATCGTCACTTACACGTTCCCCTTTAGGGCCAGATAAACCTCGCTCTCCAGGGCTACCACGTTTACCTGGTGGTCCTGCAGGCCCAGCATCTCCAACATTACCATTCGGGCCTTCAAGTCCTGGTAGACCATAAAAACCTCGAGCTCCTACTTCTCCTTTTATTCCAAAACAATTACATAGGTTCTGATTACTGCAGCCTACGCAAGCCTGGAAGTAACATAAGAGATTTGAAATATTGCAATGTAAAGAAAAAAGTGGTACTTAAAAATACAATAAAATTGGGGTATACCGTATATTGAGCATGGGAGCCTTACAACATATTTTAGTAATTTACAATTAATCATTTAAAACTAGATCAAATTAAAAATATATATATATTCATTTTAACACAAAACAATGCAAAGAAAAAAGCATAAATGTGTATTGAAAGCCAATGAAAGAAATATACTGAATGAACATTCTTATAATAGCAGTCAATTCATTATTATTTCATTTTATAGTAGTGGAATATTGCATTTCATCTGCTTCTTGACGGTATGATTATGATAACCATGCAAATAAAGTAAAGTAATAAAGTTAGGCTTGTAATAACACTGATTTTATTACTGCACAAAGAATCAATTTTGTTTTGTAATGATCGTGCAAATATTCTTGAATGATGTCATTTCTGCATGGATTGATATATAACCGGATGCAAGGGAACTATAAAAAAATATGTTTGTTGAATTTATTACAAACATATATTTTTAAAATTTTGTAAAATTATTGATTTTTTAAATAATTTTTTGTGTAAAATTGTAATTATAGTTTTATTTTCTAGTTCTAATTTCTTTAATAATTTTACAAGATATTGTAAGGAATCAGAGGATTTAAAATTGAGATTGTCCGTTGGGGTCCAAGAGTGACGAACCTGTAATTTATCTATGTACAATTTCCCTGGTTTGGTCTGGCAAATGCTTTTCCACATTTTGCCATCTTCAGAGTAAACATTACTGTTTACAGCAAGAATCTGAAGTTACATTAGGTTTTGTGATCCACTTAACCAAATGAATACTTTTTCAATTAATTAAGGTTTTGGTTGAGATAAAAAAGTTATGGGAAGTTAGTGTTCGAGTGGATCGAAGTCACGATAGGTCAAGTGGTAGAGCAGCGGCTTATTTAGCCGAAGGTCGGGGGTTCGAATCCAGCTTGTGACACCGACTTTTTTATCTCAACCAAAACCTAATTAATTGAAAAATTCTGAAATGTATTGAGAAACGGCCAAATTACAGTATAATTAAACAAACATTAATGTTAAGTTGTGAAATTTCATCCGTAAATAGTCAAAAGTTTTGCCAATCTCTGATTCTCTCTACTTGGCACTTATTAATGCTTTCAAACTGGGCTTGAACGAGTACGTAAGATTCCTAAATCATCGATAATTTCTCGATTTTTAAAAGTAAACATGTCCATTTTCTAAGGAACACTATTTCTATGATTCTGGAATATGAAGGAAACGAGAGGGGGAAAAACTATTTGTTCTATTCAAATATTTATGATGAGGGGTAAAATGAGAAATGAGTAATTTCATTAGGAAATAACAAGTTCATTCAACTGTGGGTGCATGTGATAAACGGCCCAGTCACTTTAATCAAAGCTGGCGTGGAGAATCTGAACAAAACGATAATTTTTTAATTTTTTATTATATGAACTTTAACTTTTCTTTTTTTTAAAATAATAATAAACGTACAGAAATTGGAATATGAATTATAAATTAGAATCCGAATCGATCGAATCATTTCGTTGATTGACAAGCAAATAAAGCAACAATTTATGATGAAACCGTCACCATGACTTTCCGACGTTGATTTCCTTTAGTACTGTACTTTCAAAAAGTCATTTTAATTAGTGTTATATGTACTTATAAAGTCGTTCATAAAATGGTCATAAAATGAAATCCAAATAAACGCGTTTGGATTTGTTTGTAAATAATTTTATTACAGTCAAATTGGTGATTCCGTACGTAGTTACACTAATGTTTACAGTCCGCCTAATCTATGTACTAAAGGGTTGGTCTTTGTATAAACAAGCTCCTAAATTACAGGCTTTGTGGCGGATGGAACGGTTTAAGAGGGAGATTTATAGATATTTAACATAAGGGAGATTTTTTTTATACCACCGGGGTTGGAGGAAGAAAAAAGAAGCAAGGATTTCCCATATCCCTTTGACGTCTTGGTGGCATTATGTAAATCGTAACCAAACATAGTAAAAAACGGGATGTTATAGGTTGACGAAATTAGCTTTCGATGCTGTTTATTTCAACTACTAATAAAAACAAACCAAAAATTTGAAATGTTGTTAGTCGTCCATTTTCAATTATTTTTTTTTAAATTTTCACATATTAGGTAATCAAAATTTCGGTATGAGTACACTTTTATAAGCAAACCAATTATCGTACAACATACAAAAACGTCCAAACTAAAAGGTTTTTAGATGATGTTGTTGATTAAGATCTCACTAATAACTAGGAAGAATATTCTGGACTTAGTATTGATATTTCATACGGTTTATATTTCAGAAGAGATCTTCTTATAAATTTTCCCATTGTAATTAAATCCGATTAATATTTTGATTTTTTTAAGATTTGATTATAATTATGTTATAATAACAAAAGTCTCGGCTTCTGTTTAACCATTCATTTTAAACTGGTCTATAATTCTGTATTACACAATGGAATGTATATTAAAACAAACTGTTGTTATGCTGTCATATGTCATATTAGCATTGATTTATGTAAGCACATACTATAGAGTCGGTAATATCTTCTCGCGGTAAATATCTTATAAAGCTTAAGTCTTCGGGTTTTGGCAGTCCGTGGTAAGACCTCGATGTTATACTTCCCACCACCGAAGTTAGGCTCCAGAGGCTGTCAACAGCTAGGCCCTTTTAACCCCAACGCAATTTTTAAACCGCACCCCCTCACTCGTTCTTATTCTTAATCTTAACCTTCCTAGTTCCTTAGTTCAGTGCAATAGACTCAATCCTTCTTAGAAACATCAGGTCATTGAGTGTCATTCCCTAGATTTTTTCGTATGTTAAGTTAAATCTCCAATGAGCTGTTGCTTCGCATTCGAAGATGATATGGGTGGCTGTTTCCTCCTCCTCACATAATCTGCAGATGGGATCATCGTTGTATATGCCCATGTTGTGTAGATGCTTTCTCAGATGCCAGTGACCGGTTGGTAGTCCTACCACTCCTCAGAGTTATGCCCTCTCCAACTGCAGCAGTGAGTTTGCCAGTCTTGGTGAGGGTTATTTCATCATAAGTTTACTGTGTCTAGCGCCGCTAGAGTTTATCCAATTCTCCTCTTGTTTCGTTTGGAACCATTCAGCGATGAAGGATTTTATGTTTGTTTTTGTTATACCAAGTGTAGGTATGCGGCCTATGTACGGTCTTGCAGATCCTCCTCCCCAAGTTTTGGAGATTTTGGATGAATTCACTGACTAATTTTGATGTGATCTTTTTACATGCTAATGCTTTGATAGGTGCTTGGCTATCAGAATTTATGAGGATTTTTTTGCCAGTCACAAGCGTTGATGCCATGTATTTCAGCTTGAAAGATCGAAATGTACTTCCCTTATGAGTTTGATTGCTCATGTTTTGGGCTTGTACAGAAAACGCCCGATCCGGTTCCTTCGTTTGTTTTAGAGCCATCATTACCTGATGCCATATCATTGTATCTGATGCTCTCCTATGTTCTTCCTCTCCTTTAAAGTCCATTGAGACTTTACAGGATGTTGTAAAGTATGTTTCCGGTATCATACAGACAATCCCCATTTCTAAGTATGGATGTCTGATTTTATTAATAATAGTATGCCCGAATTGTTTAGTGCCTATCCAATTTGGTTGTTTTTGGAGCCTAAATGAGCTTTTCCTAGCTTCTCCTTGTATAAATATTCCAAGTGGTAGGTTTAGCAGAGTTTCTAATGCACTTAAAAGGGTTGTTCTCATTGCCCCTGTAATACATATGTTTGATAGTCTTTGTATGCTGCCTAATATTTGAGAAGCTATTTTTTGTTGAGCTTTGGTCCAACAGATTAATGATCGATAGGTTATTTTGAGTCTTATTACTGCCGTGTATAGCCATTAGGTCATTTTCAGTTTTTAATTCCCAAGATTTGCCTAGGGTTCTTCTTGTGGTCGTTAGAGATATTTTACTTTTTGTTATAATGTTGCAGGTGAGGGTTCCAGGTTAACTGCTTACCAACAATTATTCCTAGTATTTAACTTCATTTTTTGGTTGCAACATTTCATTATAGAATCGTAAGACTTATATTTCTAAAGGATGTGGTGGAGTATTCGATGTTTCACCATCAGCCCTCTAACAGTACACATTCACGCTAATAAATACATTCAAACTCAATATACATTCTTCCAAGTATTCTTACAAAAATTTAAACAGGGGACCGAATATGTTGCCGCGCTCAATGCAATTCTCATGTCAGGTGGCATCCCTTCACGCTCATCGAGTAATCTTTTTCAACACGTCGGACACAATATTAAGTGTCTGTGTGTCAACCTAGCATGCCCTATAACTTATCGGTTGGGATCACGATGGTCAGGTTCGGAGTTTGTCCTGACCTTAGCCACCTCGTCCTACTTTTAAAGTACAAAGTGAAGTTCAAAACAGACAGAAAGTGACTCTTATTCGGTTAATATTTTCAGTCGATGGACTTAAAAAAGGCCGGCTTAAAAGAAAGATGAGTTTGTTGACTCTGGGTGGAACTAGGTGCTTGAGTTCGGATGATGTTAATGGGCATTCTTGGGTTGTCTTTTATTAAAAGATTTAAAGCTAAGTACAGATTAGATATTTTTTGTGTTAAGTTAAGCTTTAGAACTAAGCTCATCATCATTTTTCCTTTCTATGTAATTTCGATCTTGAATAATAACAGACAACAGGATAACTTACACACACGCATANACACAAATATATATATTAATTAGTTTAATTTAAACTTTTTATTGTAATGTTTTCTAAGATTCTCCTTGATATAAATAACGTATTCTCCATAAATAAAAATATCATACAATTTTTTTTAATATCAATGAAAATATATTACTTATTTACATTTTTCATGTGTTAAGTTAAGCTTTAGAAGTAAGCTCATTATAATTTTTCCTTTCTATGTAATTTCACTTTTGAATAATAACAGACAACATGATAACT